GAAGATATATAGATTATAATAATCTTCTACTCTTAATAATAGGTCTTAAAGTTAGCTAAATAGTAGCTCTTATAGCTATTAAGAATTAGTATCTAATATACCTCCTTTATATAAGGAGCTATATAGGAGTTAAAGTACTTAATCTAATTCAGACTAATTTTATTAGTAATCTAGCTATTCTTAGTTATTATAAGCTACTAGTTATATAGTAGATTATATTTCTAATACTAGTTCTTAAGATAATATTAGGTAGCTAGGATAATAAAAAGAGGGATAGCCTAGCTAGCTGTATTTATCTCTTAGATTATAGTTACCTACTCCTAGTTATCAGGCTGAACTAGTTTAGCTTTTATATAACCCTCTGAGGTTATAACTACTATCCTAGAGAAAATAATATCTATTATAAAGCTAGTTTTATTAAAGTTATATAGATTCTTATCTAGGATACTGTATTTTACCTTTAGGTTATATATAAGACTAAACTAAGATATAATAATCTTTAGATCTTTATATTTAGCCCTCTAATAGTTATATTTCTAAACCTAGTATATACAGAGCTCTAGTTATTACTTAATAAAATTAGAAGCCTAATTAATATTAATAGGGGATATATTATATATATATAGCAGGATATTAGCTATTTTCTTAATACTATATATCCTAGGAGGAAATATATATATAGATAGCTTAAGTATATATAAGATAATAGCTTTCTCTTCAGATTTTAATAGATTTATTAATTTTAATTAAGTATTATATTTTACTATATAACTAGTATATTAGTTATAAAGAGTTATATATAGAACTTAATAGACTTTTACTATTATTCTAATACTTAATTTCAGATTTTAATTAAAAGCTTAGATTATAAGAATAATATTTACTTTATATAAAGTTATATTTATTTTATAGTAGAAAGTTATTTAATTATAAAGAGGAAGTTCTAATTTCTGGATAGAAGTAATCAGCTTACTTATATGATCAGCTTACTTGTGGATTATATTAAGTTCAATTAGACATACGATAGAATGGTATATAAATGTAAATTTTATCTAACCCCTGTTCCGGGGATGACAACTTACATACCAGAAAGGGATAAATCCTGTCAATATCGCAGTTAACAAGTAGTTCCAAAGAAGCTTTACTGGCGCTGGCTTAATTGTCTTTCGTTATCCTCACTTGTCATTTTGTCCGCTACAAGTCCTCCATCTTTCCTAGAAATTCTCCAGGGTTGAACATAGTTCTTCCTGACTAGAAAATTTTCTACAAACAAACCCTGCAAATTTGGTGATTTTCGTCTTTGGGAGATCGTGTTTGATTAGGTGAGACTGAAAGGAAGCTGCTGCCTGGAGCTGCTGATTGCTTATTATTGTTCATCCCCACTCCAAGTGCTCAATCCCATCTTCCACCGCGCAACTCCAATTTCTCATAATGGATCTGAATCAATCGTCTCTATCCTTTCTTTCACTTCCTTACCATGTTCGAAAACGCATATACTTCTTCGCCGACTTAGTGCGAGAATGTCCGATCACCATTGGGCTCCCCGCACCAGAGACGGTTTCGCCCACAGCATCGTTTGTTCCATCCGGCCCTCCTCCAATGCCCCCTGGATTTCCGCCACCCAATGCGATTGGGCTAAACCTAGGCGCAGAATGCCGCTTCATAATGTTGCAAAGGGGTCAAGATCGATCTGTGTATACTTCGTACTTAGAATGCATCTGTCCTGAAATCCCAAGGCAGCTGCTCTACGTCAGCAAGGCCCTGCACACAGAGATCAGCGAGACAATCTACGGTGAGAATAAATTCGTGATCCGTGCTCAAGAGGCCGAGGACCTCAGGGTCTTCGGCATCCTTTCGGACACTGCGGTGAGTCGACTACGCTGGCTCATGATCCGTCTGAATTGCTGGCCATGCCATCGCGGGCACAGTAGTCTGATGCCTCTTGCGCCTCCCAGATGCAAAACATGCAGCGCATCAATCGACTTGGCCAACCCCGAGTTGGTTGATGGACAAGCCCAGTCCAAGGCTATGATTCAAGGTTGGGCTACTTTGTGTAGTCGTCTAGCATCCTGTATCCCCCCTGGACGTCTTGAGCTGGAATTCGTCTGTGATGTTGGAGACATGGAGACGGCTGAGCAAGTTATCAAGCCACTGTTTTCTCTTCCACGTCTCGAAAAGTGCACAATCAGGTTGGGAAGGCGAAGAAACCACGGTCTTGAAGCCTTGGCGCGCTTAACCTCCCTCCGATTGACAGCGCACTACAACCCTCATGTAGAGCTAGGCAGCTCACAGTTTCCGTTCTTTCGTCTGCCAAGAGAGATCCGACGTCACATCCTTACACTCACCAATCTCGATCCTAGCAATGTGAATGGGGAACATCGCCATGGCTTTACCATCAAGGTAGGAAAATGGGATGCATCCAACGACTGTTACAGCATCGTTCCCAAGCGCATCTGCTGCCACCACTGCTCATTTACAAAGCGCGACTGTAGTTGCCCTTCAGACTATGCATCCTACTCCCCCGGTTGCCAGTGCCGAGTCCTCCCTCTCAACCTCTTCCTGGTAAGTCGGCAAATGTACGCAGAGGCAGCCGAAGTCCTCTACACGGCGAACATATTTACCTTTGCTGGGCCCTTCGAAGAAACCCTTCGCTGTCTCCAGACCCTCCAACCTACCACTCTAAGCTCTTTTCGGCGCATCAGGTTTCTTTTTGACGTCGATCAGTCCTGCAGGTATTATGAACACGAGAAAGCCTGGGCGTGTCTCCTGTCCTTCATTGCCGAGAAGTTTGACCTGTCCAAGTTGCTTGTTATAATTGACACCAGCAGAGATACCCTGCAATGCATGCACAATGACTATGAGGAATGGGCGTTGCACGACTTGTACAAGACGTACACTTCAGTTGCGAAACTCGTCAAGTCTATGCTGACTGGCTTACACGGCTTCCACGTGTTCCTGGGGGCTTTCTTTGACCTGGAGCCTGTTTTGGAAAGGTTTGTAATGGGTCCTGACTATGACAGTAACAAAACCCGTCGGAACCCAAAAGCTACTACCAGTGCAGACTGGCCTGTCTTAAGTCGACCAAGTTTCGGAGGGCGAGGACGAGGACGGGGACGTGGGCGGGGGTCGCGGAAGTGATAGAGGGAGAGGCGGAGGCAGAGGGCGAGGCGGAGTGTCTTCGGGTGTGAGAGGCACCTGGCCCAAAGAGATGTACTCGATTCCACCCTGGCACTATGAACTCTAGGAGTGCAATCATGTGCAAAGCCTCTACTTCAATGATTTGCTTTATGATAGCTACGGTAGGTAAGAGATCAAAATAACCCGATGTTTGCTGGTGTTTCGCCCATCTCAACCCCTCTTGTTGCTCAGTTGAAGCCAAAACGAAGTATAAACGGTAAAGTAGCATCTACGAAGCACTTCTTAGTGACTTGTCGTTCAGGCGGGTCACTGTAATTTGGGTGCTCCCACATTTCACCTCTAGAATGAGACTATTCAAGTCCGAGCAGAATTGAGCTTGTGAAGGCACCTTCACTCTGAACCTGTTGTTCCTTTTCAATTTGGCCTTGATAGAAGTGGTAGTCATAGGGAAGATTAAACCACAACCCGGGATTTAGTGTCTTTCGAACATGAACTCAATGGGTGAAAGGACTTATCTGGTAAAAGCTAGAATGCAGTGAGATCAAACTAAGAGTATCAGTGAGTTAGGTTAAACCTGCATTTCCAAATAGCAGTTGAGTCGGTTAAGAAAGATAAAAGACCGTTCCTGACGAAGAAAAATAATCAGCAGTAAATCCTAGAAACAGCTTGGATAAAGTACTCGTAGTTAGAAAGCCCACACCCATTTCCCCTCTAATCATATTATTTTCTAAGAATACCCACCGCTGAACTCCATGCTTTTGAGCCTTAATGACTAAAAGACCGAGCTGATAAGTTGCATGCAGTATTTGATCCAACAAACTGAAACCCATGAAGCTAAACCTACAGTTCATATGGCTTCTGGATCTCAGTCTATTACATGGCCCTTGGCGTAAGTGGCTTCTCTATGTTACCTACGAGGTGGACTTGTGTTTGTTCTTCCCCAGCACAGCAGCTGCATAAACGAATCTCTGGCCCCGGGTCCTCCTCTGGAGAAAGCCACGAGGAACAGGGGCTATCAGTATGCGTAGAGTAAACCCGAAAAGATTGGGCTCGAGGCTATGGTTAAAAGTATTAATTATCAGATGAGAATCTCGGTCAGCCACTTCTGTAACTCTGATATGTACTCTTTGCATCTGAAGTTTAGTTGAGCTGTGAAGCAGGTTGCAATTGTGAAGTTCTTGGGGTATTCTGAAGTATGGGAGTAGTATTATGTATGTCTCACGGCGATACGTAGTATACCTGCTTTGGGGTTTCAAGATTGAGAGGAGAACAAGCAAGTCTTACACCTACGGACCGTGCACATACCCTTGATATTGAAGATAGTCGACCTCCTTCCATCACTGGTACAATATTGGCTTTATGCTCAATCCGGCGTCCAACGATGTGGTAAAAGAGCAGAGGTATGGGATGGGGGTGGCGGAGGAGATCAAAAGCTGAGTTTAGCTTCTCAAATCTAGCCTGAGCGTGGCATCTCTATCGAGAACAAGCACGGGCTTGGCTATGTAATTTTCAGCGGCCCTGGGTAAGAAGAAATAAAAAACATACGCTTAGATTCGGATCAGCCATGAACAGTCAAGTCCAAGCATCAAGTGCACACTAGGTAAATGAAGTGTCGCTTCTGGGTTGAGCTTAGGTGCTGGTGGAAATGTTCAACGGACATATATGAAGCCTTGATAGTACTTTACTATGACAATAACCGTAAGCTTTCTGCATATTTGTCTGTATGTGATGCAATTTATTATAATTAATACTCTCTTTGAGTTTAGCTAGAAGTGCAAGACACCAAAGGGTGTCAGGAAATATAGGATATCCTTCGGTCTCATGGACCTTGTATTAAATAAGATTATATGGTAATAGTAAAATTAGTAAGAACCAGGTATATGACTCCATCGTTTAGTTATTAAATCGTAATCATGCGACATCAAGGGTGAGAGTGGTGAGGATGGTGATTGGAGCCTTGACTCTCCAGCTAAGAGATCAACCCGCCCCAGGTTCAAGACGAGCTTCATGACAGCATCGTGACCTCCTTCAGCGGCCAAAGAAAGTGGCGTCGATCCATCATTTGCCCTCGCATCCGTATCAACATGGTCGGTGTTGAGAAGCAACTCGACTACCTTTAGGTGGCCCAGTCTAGACGCCAGCAGTAAAGGTGTAGAGCCATCATATGCTCTTGCGTTGATATCAGCCTGCCCAGACTGCAACAGTAGTCCAACAATATTTTCGAATCCTTGCACTGCAGCCCAAGCCAAAGCTGTGCGGCCGAATTTGTAATCCGTGGCGTTTACTGAAATATTGCCCCAGTCCAGGAGGAGTCGGACAATTTCTTCATGTCCTCCTTCAGCAGCCAGCGACAGTGCTGTGTGCCCGTCGTTTGCTTTTGCGTCAACCTTAGCCTCGCCTGATTCCAGTAACAGCTGCAAGATCGCAGCATGCCCCCATTTCGCGGCTCGCAATAAGGGCGTGACACCATAGTCGTCTCTTGAATTAATATCAACCTTGCCCCGGTCCAAGAGAACTTTGACCACTGACTCGTGGCCCCAGTATGCCGCACGGGATAATGGGGTCCGGCCAAGGTTGTCTTTTAAATCGAGCTCAACCTTTCCTGAGTTCAACAGAGTCTTGACGACAGAGTCACGCCCTTCCATGATAGCCCATTGCAAGGGCTTGGAGCTGCACTCGCCTCCCAGGTTTATCTCGGTCTTGCCTGTGTCTAGCAGAAGCTTTACAATTGATGCGTGGCCGGCATGGGCGGCTGAAAGGAGTGCCGTCCGGTCGTTGTGGTCTCTGGCGTCCACTTCAACGCCGCCTGTCTCGAGAAGCAGGCGGACCAGATACTCATAGCCGCAAGAGGCAGCCATCAAGAGTGGTGTCGCGCCAATGTCGTCATCTTTGAAGTTCAATTCCATGCCCTCGACACTGACCAGATACCGTGCCATGTACTCATCACCATGACGGGCGCATATCCACAAAGCTTCTCCGCTCCTTGCGCCAGCCTCGATGGCCTTCCTCGCGGTCTGTTCCATCTGGTGGGCGGCTGCCCATCCAAGTGCTGAGCCCCTCGACTCTTCCGCATTTCGACGGTATAAGAACTTGCTAAGCGGAAGGAATCGTCGGCTCGTCTGGACGAGGGAATTGATATCTCGCTGGGTATCTAGCCATGAGGCGATGCACTCAAGTATTTCGGTTGGCAGATATAGCATCTTACAAGTGATAGCTAGGGAATAAGAGAATAATGGAATTGAGAATTCGGGGTCTGTTGGGGATGGTTGTTCATTTAATAGTTGGGTAGCAGTATTACTTTCTCGTGAGATGAGATGCTATTTTTATCCTTCGCTTGGAACTTAGACCAGGGATGATTATGGAGTCTCATGACATAACTGGGCTTAGACGCGTCACTGGCGTAAGAGCCGGAGTGCATGGGCAAGTGGGTGACATTGAAATTGAGACACCCTCAATCATTAGGCTGCTTATCGTTGAGTCTGCGACCGGTATTATCAAATTGTTGAGTACCAATAATATATAATTCAGAGAAATGCTATATATATTGTTACTTGGTTCCTTTTTTTACTACTGAATCTTCTCTCTATTTATTGTAGAAAGTAGTCGATTAATAACCACTCTTCCATTAGGTGGCTCATCTCTTCTGTCACCCGCTTGATGGGATGTGTGAGCCGTTGCTGCTACGCCACGCTGTGGCTTTAAGCCATCAAATATGCCGTCACCGCTACGAGGCAGTCGGGCGCAGCCATGCCAAGCATACACCAACACGAACTTCTCAACACCGAAGATTCAAGTGTGACTTATATAAATACATATGCTTCTGTGTAACTATGTGAGTTCAAGATGCAATGCTTGTTCCCTACCTAATTCGAAGCTTATGTCACACACATACACACACCCTGCTTATGCAGGTAGCACGTGATACTACATGTATAACCTGGTCTTTTGGAGGGATATTTTGAAGATTTTGCTCCAGACCTAAATGGCGGCCAATGGGCTGGTTCTACAAATATCAAAACCATGTCTAGATCCTCATCTGCATTGTCCTCGTCCCGCCTATCGCGTGTAGCCAGGAGAGTAGAAAGCCTGTTGATTCGGCTGTATGTCCTTATAATTTGACCCGTGAGCCTCGGAAAGACAATGCTCACGCTTTTCTCTCAGCTTCCCTTCTTTAGGCTATCACCATCTTTTAATGGGTTTAGTTGCGGTCGCCATTATCCTACAATGTAGACACTCAAATCCTTCCATTTCAACTTTCGATGGTTTGCTAATTGCTGATTCTCCTCACAGCTGTTCTTGTGGCTGGTTGCACGAGTGAAAGTCTCAACGGCATCTTCATCTTCTCTCTTACCTATGCGAACGGAGAGACACAGCGGAATTTAAACCCATCGCAAGTTAACCCGAATGCCTCGTATATTCTCTCTAGTCTTGCTGGAAATGAAACTTCCTTGCATATTCGTGCTGGGTATTTGGGGATGTGTCTGACCAGCGGTGATGGCTGGATCTGCTCTAGGAGCTCTGAGCAACTGGCCACCGTCATCATACAATCCAAAGCAGCAGACCCTCTGAATTTAATCTTTGTTGCGGAGAAGTTCAGGTCCGAGGTGGTATTTGTTGGCCTTTGGTTAGTATTGTCCCCCTAATAACCCGTGTGAGTCGAATGCCCAATGCGATTGGCCTTCTAATATAAATTTCGCCTAGGTTTGTTTCCATAGCCTTCTCATTCATATCATTTTGCATTCTTTGGGGCCGTAATGGTTTTAAACGAGAAGGTCTTTCAGATGATGGGAGCGAACGCGCAGTGGCAGCCAGGAGGAACATTGTCCCTCCAGTCATGGTCATCGTCATGTGTATTTCATCAATGATGGCTCTTCTCTCTGGATTTTGGCAACACATGGCCGGTGTCGCAGCTTCTACAATTACCGATGCCTTCACTTATGGAGCAGCGAGTGGTGATTTGGGGGTTGGCGCCATGGTGCTCGGTTGGGTATCTTTTTTTCTGCTAGCGGTTGCCTTGCTTGGTCTGACAGTGATTGTGATAGCTATTCATCTTCTAAACATGTAGCGTATATCAATCAACTATCTTCTAGAGAAGCTTTCCTAAACTCACGCCAGGTCATATTCATAATGAGCAAGAACCTCACTAAATCATTTTCTATGCTTTCTTCGGCAGTGTTAAAAGGCTAGGAGCTATTGTAGCCAGAACTTATACTCGCCGCAGCGGAAAGCTCTTCAACTGACGTAAACAATCTCCAAATGCCTTTGGCAATCAAGGCCACAAGAATGATGAGAGTGAGCATGACTGTCACGGCTATCTTGGCGCCATGCGATAACTTTGACGTCCAAATCGGAGCTATTATAGCTGCAACAATGCCTACTATGAAAGCCACAGTCGTAAGTCTCTTCCATGGTATACTAATTTCCCTTCTAACATTGTTGAAGAAGTCTGCAATTCTGTCAACATTGAATGCCACGATGATTAATGGCAGGGACAGGCCAAGCCCAATGCCCACTGGGTACATATTCGTTAGAGTCAATCTTCCCAATGTGTCTTATGCGGCCAATTACTGACTGATGTATTTCATAGCGTATTCGAACGGAATTTTGTCGTCCTGGTCGCGGGGAAATGTGTTTGCCTCGATGGTGAAGACTGAGGTGATGAATGAAACTGGCAACTTTACAATAACTATTATTAGAATGTTGTGAGTACTTGATTCAATTTCACCAATACTTACAAACAGGATAGTCACCACTGTAAAAACAATGACCGTCTTGCCCTGTCTGGCTGTGTCTCTAGCGGCTTCTCGGGCATACCATGACTCCGCTAGACTGGCTTGCTTTTGCTTGAGGTCCATTAACCTGTGGATCTAGTTTTTCGTTAGATGATAGAACCTCATTCCAGTACAATCACCTTACTGATGTGTCGGCCTTCCTCGCCGCTTCTTCCATTCTCATAATCCGAAGAAGGTGATTCTCTAGAACCCTGGTTTCTACAGCCGGAGACTTTTGGTTGTCTCCCGCCATCTCCCTTAGAAACTTGTTCATATCTCCAATGACAGATTCTTGGTCTTTTAGGACCATTTTGAGAATGTGTAGCTCGTCTAGTATATCCTCGATTTCGATCATGAGCTCTGTTTCTCCCGTTATATCCATAACTACATGCTCGACGGCATCAGCACGAAGCTTGCTCAGAGTGTCTTTGAAATCTCTAAGATGGCTAGACACTTTGTCGTTCTATTTTCAAATATTAGACAACATAAAGACTTGGTTGTATAACTCATCTCAACAGGGTAAAGAATTTCTTTTGTCTTACCACTATTCCTATCGACTGTTCAAAGAAGTCGAAAAATAGGTAGTCTTCAGGGAGTTTGCTTGAGTCAAATACATCCACGCAAGACGTTGTGATCAGACCGGCCAAACCATAAACCGAACCTACTGGTCCTCGGCTGTTCCGAAAAAGGCATTTTGTAATACGTTGATGGACGTTCATTGGGTCATCTGGGTTTATCTCTGGCCATGTTTCCAAATCTGGGTCGTGTACATCCCGCCGTGCTGCTCGCGAGCTGAATTTGTGCGACTTGTGTTTTGCTTTAGAAGCCCACTGGTGTCTCGGTCTCGTGTTTTGCGCACCTGAAATAAACGCCAAAAGACCCGGCTTAGCTGTATGATACATTTGATGTGGCCGGAGTGTGAAGCCTCGCGGGATCCATGAATTCCACTGTAGCGGGCTACAAGTAATAATGGTATCTTTGATCATGTAAGCCGTAAGTCTCGGATCTTGATTCATGATGTTAAATTTTATGGCGTACCTTTTCCAAGTATCCAGAGCCACAGTTGGTCCACCATGAAAATCTTTGGGCCTACTGACAGATCCTCTTTCGTATATCGATACACCACTTGGTCGTCATCGCGGTGGGTCAGAGTCTCCATGTCAGCGTAGACATACTGATCCAGGGTGCGCCGAGGTTGAACTCCCAGCTTTCCGGGTTTATAGTATCCTCTGATGAGATGCTCATTCAGATTCTTGGTCGGAGGGGAGATCTTCTCTTTTTCTGTCTTTCTAGTTCCAGCTGCATCTAATTGCCGATGGACCCTTGGAGATATTTGGCCTGGTTCTATTGCAGAAACACTTTTGTTTGATCTCGAGGCGTTTCCATTGTCGTCTATGATTTCCTGAGATTCCGGGGTAGCTGGCTTGTTGGTCTCCCGGGTTGGTGACTTGGGGGTCTGAGAGGCAGCCTTGTCTGATCCCTTGTCATTTGAACGGATGGAAAGTCTCTCATCTTGAAATGTGTTGACCATTTCTCGATCCCGCTCTTTTGAGATCTTTGCTGGAGAACCCGGAGGATATGCAGCCATTTCTGATACTCCACGTTCTCTATTCCCGTATTCGATGACTTGTACCATCGCCGAGGACCTGTTCATTTCGACTCCCCCTGATAAGTTTTGTCCGCTTGAAACTATCCCACTAGATTCTGTGTCTTGACGCAAATTCGCTGGGCGCCCGATCAGCATTTCCCTCAGTTCCACCCAGCCGGGTTTCGCATGGCCCAACAAGCCCTTCCTCGTGCGAGGCGATGTTGGTTTCTCAAATGGATGCCCTAGTCGATGCCCTGCTTCTGGTCTATTGACAAAACGACCCCTCTTGTGTTTCCATGATCTTTTTATAGCTTTCGCCATATGTTCATATCCTGAGTAAGATTCGGCGTGAAGAAAAGGAACCTAGTCTAGTATTAGGAGTGCTGATAGTTTTCTCTGCAAACTCACAGTGATGTTCGACGTACAAACGAAACAACGCAGTCGTCGCTTCCATCTTCAATCGAGGTGACGATATGACTCTGTAATTCAGTAGAGGTGTGTTAGTTGAAAATTGATATCATAAACGATTGGGTATCACCTACGAGAACTCGTCGACACTGTGGTCTGAGTGTCGAGGGTGGGCCCGCTGATGATCTTGATTTCTGGTTTTCGAAATGTGATAGCTCAAGTTCTTCCTTTGTATCCTCGTACATCTCTTTGGATACTGCGCCTTTCTCTGCTGCAAGACGTCTGATAAGGGTCTATTCTTTTGTGAGAAACCTGTGGCTGTCTCAGATCCTGTCTTCACTCACCTCGACCCAAACCATCTATCGGAGCATTAGTGTTCTGTGACAGACAAATGTTTATATAGCGAGATTACATACATTATTGCTAGGTAGGTGATACCAAGTGAAATCGGGGCGTCTGTTGTCTAATTGGCTTCGAATAGCCTCAGGTCCGTGGCTATATAGAAGCTCATGCACAGATGCCCTCTTTGGAATCAGCTGTTCACGCTCACCCCCTGTAAAGAAGTCGATAATGGTAGCATCAAATCCATGGCACGCGACCAACTTGGCTCTTTCTCCCCAAGTTGGTGGAAGAGCTGGCCTGAGCATCGTAAACGACTCCTCAGGCTGCTCGTTCATGTTAGGCTTCGTCCTCGGTCCCTGAAAGACGGTATCGGCTTGCAAGAGCTCTAGCATTTCGGGATTCGATTCAGCCAAGTCGATAACCGATTTGCCATCTGAATTCCAGATATGGGTATTTGCCCCATGCTGCAATAGCAATCTTGCGGGTGCCAAGTCATCCAAGGCCACCGCCCCAAATAAAGGAGTCGCTCCATTGAAATCGCGTATATCTACCTTGGCTCCTGCATCCAACAGCGCCTTCATTGCCCCCAAGTCACCCTTGGCCGAAGCTGAGTGCAAAACTGTTGCGAAGTTGTTGTAGAACCAATCGGGGTCGGCCCCACGATCGAGAAGTAGCTTGATGGTGCCTACATAGCTAGGGGTAATGAGAACAGCATCGGATAGAAGTTCGTTCAAATCAAATTCTTCTCCATATGCCTCTGTCCCATAGTCTATGAGTATCCGAGCAAGCTCGATATCCCCATCCAAAATAGCTCTGCTCAGCGGCTGTATTCCTAGATAATTTGGAGCAGAATTTCCACTATGTTTGAGCAAAGTAGTCACCATATCTACATCACCCAACTCGGTTGCCATGAGAAGAGGCCAAGTTTCGCCGGGTGCTTGGGCTTCGATATCGGAGCCAAGCTCCAGTAACGTCTCCACGACGCCTAGGTCGCGCGACAAGATGGCAAGGTGCAGCGCGGTCAGTCCATCTTCACTCTTGATGTTAATGTCTGCGCCATATTGGTCCAATAGCCGTGGCAATTGGTCCTTGTCGGTAGACTTGGCTGCTTCGAGAATATCCTCAACAGACGGGGTTTGAGCCGAATATCTCGCGTCTGCTTGTTGGCTTTGCTCGGACCGGTGCTCTGGATGGTAATCTGGCTGATGCTTCCACTCTTGCTCTGGTTGGTGCTCCATGCTGATGTCTATCAAGACCCGAGGCTGATGACCCGACGTCCAGTATCTTACCAGTTAGACTCGCAACACCTTAGTGCAGCCAAGACAAAGACTCAATACATTTCCCGGAAGCTCATGAGTGTGGGCTGTGCTTCGGCGGCAAGACTCTGGCAAAACTTTTCCTGTTCACTGTGATTTACCTCTCAATCCCTGCTGTTCGGCTGCAGTAAGCAATAAATATGCAGAGCGCGGAGAAAGCGAGTGGTCAGAGCAGGGATCAAAGCCCACACCAAATCAACTAGCTAAGCGAGCTGTCAGCGTAGTGTTCCAGTGCTCCAATCCCATGATGTAAGTGGGCGTCAAAATAACAGGGACTGCAAAGGTGTTTGAATCCAACCTTCTATTAAGCCACGATATTGATAGATAATACCTAAATAATAATAATACTAGTACTAAATTATTGAGCACTTGTTAAGCAATATTACTGACTTACTATTTTACATTAGGAAGCAATATTGTGTGACTGACTGCCACAATAATTCAGTCTGCTGAGGTGACTTTGCAGTCCCTGTTTTCTGACAGCCACTTGCCATGATACTAATGTTGAAATCTCAGTCCGTAATCCGATTTGCCTTATGTTGGATCGCCTATTTCGCACTTTGCCCATCGGATCTCGCTGAGAGCTATACGCTTATAAATGGCGGGATTCGCTGCCGTCATCCAGGCCGGCATGTCACCATAATTGGCCAAACGTTTTCCTAATACGGATCAGCTTATTGATTCTAGAAGTCTAAGGCCGTCCAAACCTCGGACTACAGCACTCAATACTACACCAGTCTCGCAACGATCTGACTGCTACCAGATGAAGCAGCTTCAGATGGAATAGATAGAATAAAGCAACAAGTAGCAATTGATCTTCACGGGTGTAAAAAGTATAAATTCATGTACAGATCCAGCTTTGTGAGACTTTCAACTCATCAACATCAACATCGCCAGCATCCTTCGGATCTCCAAGCACACACAACCACACAACAGGTCCCCCTTTCCTCTCTCTCGTACCAACACTTAAAGAAAGCAACATGTCTCCCACACTCCCAGGCTGGCGTCTCCTCTGGTCCGACGAATTCAACGGCGCAGCTGGATCTCTTCCCGACGAGTCTAAGTGGGATATCAAGAACAATGTCCGCCCTGGCGAGTACAACCGTGAAGAGCAGCAGTGGTACATTAAAGATACCTGGGTTGTTTCCATCAACGGAGAGTCCATGCTTCACATTAAGCCACAATGGAACAACAACTGGTACTCGGCACGCCTTGAGGGGCGTGCCAGCTATAGTTGCCCCGCTGGCAAGCAACTGATGATCCAAACCGAGCTTCGCACTGGTTACGCGCCCGAAGAAAACCAGTCTGGTATCTGGCCCGCGTTTTGGACACTGGGGCAAGAGTATGTGTTACAGATTTACAAAGAAGAAGATGTTAATGAGAGCTAACTAGTGGACCTTTATAGTTACCGCAACGGCATCAAGTGGCCTCACTGTGGTGAGCTAGATATCTTCGAGAATGGCCATGGGAGCAACTTGATGATGGGGGTATTACACTATGGAAATGTTGGTGACCCCGGCTCTCAGCAAATCTCCAGTGGACCTCGTCCATTTGATAAGAACGCCTTCAACACCTGGGCCATCAAGATCAACTGCACATCCTCGAACTGGAAGGATCAGAGCATCACCTGGTACCAGAATGGAAACGCGTTTCACCAAGTCTTTGGCCGACAGCTCACTTATGGGAGAGATGATGCTCAGAGGGAAATTTACTGGAAGAGGCTTGCCCAGTGGAACATTTTCCCCATCCTTAATGTTGCAGTCGGCTCTTCGTTCCCTGGAGCTGGGCAGCCTAATGCGAATACGTCTAAGGGATTGGATGTGGGCCTGCAGGTTAAGTATGTTGCCATCTATGAGAGCACATAGGAGCCTGTTGAGCTGGCTTTCAGTTTGTTGGTTGCTTCTGATAGATAGTTGAGCTATATAGATCGAATTTTACCTCCTGTTTTGAGATTCATTGAGCCTTTTCTGAACGCAGCAGAAATTAAACTCGGCGTCAAGGTCATAACCCAGCACGAATAGCCATTCAGGAAACAGAGTATTTTTCAGACTGGCTTCAATTTCAATTGATCATCGACTATTCATAAAAATCATCCTCCTCGGAGCTCCAGCCTCCTCATTGAACAGACTCAGTGGTAATTATAACAGCCTATACACACCACTTCAAAACAGACACCGAGTGATCCCTTTTCCGCCTCTTGAACTAAGCAGATGCCGCTGTGACATGAGTTATCCTAGGCCACCTGGGCCAGGTTTCTGGAACAGGCGGGACCAATTTGGGTATAAATCATACCTTTGTCGAATAAGTGCCTAATCCGAGCAAGCCGACTTTCTTTTTTTCATCTAATTGATGGGCTCAATTACTTCTTGCGTCGGGCAATTGGCAAATCATTTTAGCGGCCCGCTTTTAGATCTTATTCCATTAGATGCAAAGCATATGTACGCTTACTTGCTTGTTCGCCTGCTGCGTTATATGCACTCCAGTAGGTAAAGCTTTCAGGCTGGGGGTTTTAGTGATTCAACAGGGCGATGTCGGATATGCGAGCAAAACTTGGGCCGATGATGATCCGATGGAGGGGCACAAAGCAATCTTTTCAGCCGGCCCGTGGCCCGAGCCAATCAGAGATCTTGTATTTTTCCCCGCCATCGGAGCTTGTGCCCACTAAATGACCTCACTCGATGCAACGATTGAAAATTGATTTCTTCTGCCCCTCGTCCACATCGAATAGCTCTACCAAATACCTACCTGCACAATACCTCGATTCGAGCCTCCACGATTGCCCTCAGCTGTGTCAATTGCGCCTTCGGTTCCCTCTCGATCATCCCCGCGCCCTCCAAAATACAGGTCAATTGACCTTCGACTGCTCCTCCACGTTCAAATACACCGATAAAGCCATCCAAAATGTCAGCCCCAACCGGAAACCCTTATGCAAGGATCGACGATCTACTCAGCAATGTGCGCAACTTTAAGATCATTGAATGTCAGTTGATCATACTCTAGAGAGTATAGTATAGATCTAAACTGACCGTAAACAAGCCACCCTCCGTGAGGGAGAGCAATTCGCCAACTCTCATTACAGCACAGAAACCAAAATCAAGATGTTCGTCCTCTTTCTTTTGCCCTCCTCTTGATCTTTTACTAATATATATTCTATAGCGCGACTATGCTTGATCAATTCGGTGTTGACTACCTCGAACTAACGAACCCTTGCTCATCACCGCAATCGCGAGCCGATCTGGAGACAATCTGCAAGTTGGGCCTCAAGGTATGTGTCCAGGAGCTGGCTATAGATGCGCAGAGTACTGATAATATGGCAGGCCAAGATCCTGACGCATACCAGGTGCACGATTGGTGTAAGTGACCTAACCATCTTTACATCATTCTCCGCTAACACACGTTTAGGACGCCAAGATTGCAGTAAGCTACCCCCGAGATCGAACATGATTACTTCTGCCGAACGATTCCCCATTTCCACGAAGCCTATATCAAACCAGTCATTGCATTCTTGGAACATACGAAACGCGGTCCCGCAGCCCTCAAGACCCGTGATCCATCTTTCAGCTATACGATTGCGAAGGTGTCCATGCGGTGACTTGGGAACGCAGCGGGAACTACATACAGCAAGCAATTATCGGCAACCCAACTTATGGATTGGCTCTGTGGAAATGGGGAACCTCCTCGGCACTTTCCCTTGGCTTTTGTTTTCGAATAAGGCCATTCCTCAGTCAAACAACACAGCTAACACGGGTAGTGCGACGCCGGCGTGGACGGTGTTGATGTTGTGATTGGCACGAGCCGTGAGAATACCCCTACTTCACCTTAGTTGCGAATCGCTAACGAAACCAGAGTTCCTCCGCGAGCACTCTCTCGGTGGCAAGGATATGGTTGCGATCACCAAGCAGGCCCTCGAAGTCATCGAGTATATCAAGAGGTAAGCAGCAGCGGTGCCTGACTTGTCAGAGAAAACTCCAGGAAGCTGACCTATTGTGTTTAGTCGTGGCTGCGAGGTTCGCTTCTCGACAGAAGATTCATTCCGGTTCGTAATCACCTTCCTCCCGATACGGAACGTTGCCAAGACCGACTCTCTTCCGCCTCTTACCTGCCTCCTAAAGCCCCCCTCGCATAGATCTGTAGCCTAGATGGCCTCACTTTTCCTAGGATAGGCTGTCAGAGGGTCGGCTTGCAACTAACCTCTAATGTTATTATACTAACTCATTCCCAAGTTCGGACCTGGTCGATCTCCTGTCTATCTACAAGGCTGTGAGCCAGGCTGGAGTAGACCGCGTTGGAATTGCGGACACTGTCGGATGTGCCTCTCCTCGACAAGTTTATGTACGCCTATTGTGTCTTCCTTGCTGTCCCCGTGGTTCACCTCGTACTTGATGCTAATGCTTTGCGAAGGATCTTGTCAGGACTCTCAGGGGCTGTGTCAGCTGCGATATTGTAAGTCATCATCGCTCACCTACTGCTCTCTGCCCGCAGTTCAATTCCGTGGCACTCTGTGTACGAGTTTTCTGACCTCGGGGCTACTAGGAGGTCCATTTCCATGACGACACCGGCTGTGCCGTAGCGAACGCATTCTCGGCATTGGAAGCTGGAGCAACACGTAAGTAAAGCACTTCTATGCTCTCTACTTGAAAGCTACACCTGTTATGGTGCATGGTACTTGAGATTCAAAGTTCGGCTTGGAATCAAGGACTGCGATGTCGACTAGGACTTTTCGTTGATGAAGGGACCCAAAAGGCTAACAAAAGAAAAATCTAGACGTCGACACCTCTGTCCTTGGAATCGGCGAGAGAAACGGGATTACCCCTCTCGGAGCCTTGATGGCAAGAATGATGCCGAGTTCGAGAGATTATGTGCTGTCTAAGTACAACCTGAAGATGATCAAGTCCATCGAAGATTTTGTCGCTGAAGAAGTTGAGGTCAGTCTAGACTTATGCTCCTGCTCTCTTCCGACTTAAGACTTACATTAGGCAGATCAACACCCCTTTCAACAACCCTATCACTGGTAAGCTATCCCATGATTTCTTTCGTCTGATCTGTTCACTCCCCACCCGACATGGGCATGTGGATATATATAAACTGACGCTTTCGACAGGTTTCTGCGCCTTCACACACAAGGTATTTTCTAGCAGCTCTAACATGCGGTTTCGTATATACTCACTGCGATAGGCCGGTATTCACGCTAAGGCTATCCTTAACTCTCCTTCGACCTACGAAATCCTGAAGCCCGAGGACTTTGGATTAACCCGATGTAAGTTCTATGATATAGGGTGTCTTTGGACCAATAACTGACCATTGTCCAGATGTCCATTTCACGTCCAGACTGACTGGCTGGAATGTGATCAAGAGCAGAATATCACAACTTGGTCTAATTGTAAGCATCCCCTTATGTCCAGGTCGATTATTATTTGCTAACTAGATCTACAGATGACAGACGACCAGGTTAAGGAAGTGTAAGATTTGTTGTCTATTCGTATATTGCTTCGAATTCGCTGACATTGTGACTCTAGTACGGCTAAGATCAAGGCGATGGCCGATATCAGGTAAGTCAGATATGGAGACAATAACACTGTCCTTGGCTAATACGTGTAGGCCACTGGCAATCGACGATGCGGACTCAATCATCCGTTCCTTCCATTTGGAGCTAAATAACGGACAGGGACAGGAGGGGCAGAGCGAGCAAAATGGACAGAATGCGCAAAACGGCCAGGTGGAAGCATAGCAAGCATATGTGTGTACAGGGGGCATCGCATCGAAGGCTGTTGATGGTGTGAGTAAAGCTCGATATGATGGAGACTAGGTGTGCCGGTGGACTAGAAAACAAAAAAGATTGACAAGAAGAGGCCACACGGCCAACAACAAGGGTGGCGCCAAAAACATCTCGGTACAAGAGTATCAAAAGTACATGGTGTTATGGGAAATGTAACTTGCTTCAAATTCTAAACTGCAAGACAATGAAACGAAATTGAGAGGCTCTACTACAAGGCGAGGCTGGATAGAATACTGATACTTGCAAGTTACTTGTATGCAGGTTACCAATTCACAGTATTCAGATTCCTATCCGCATCATCGCCAGGGTTCAAGATGGGATTACTGTACAAAATACTGGTTCCGACCTTCTGGTACCAGCCGGTCCTCAGGGCTGCAATCGTCTCAAGTGTCAAGCTGTCACTTCTTGCGGGCCACAATAAATGGCCGACTGTCATCGCCTTTTGACGCGTGCTTCTCTGCCTCAAGAATCTCAAAGTCTGCATCCCGAAGCAGCCTGGAGAGCTCCGTCTCAGTGAAAATAGTGACAGTTGGCCCAACGCCAAACAATCGTACAACCGGAACTCCCCATCGGAGAAGAAAGTTCATATCACCCAGGCACGGTGTCTTCGTTATGAGCTGGCCCCCATCCTCAAGGAGGGAGTGTGTCGCCTTCAGAGTGGCCGCGACATCAGAGACCAGGTGCAGATAATTGAAGCCCAGGATAGTGGTAAATCGCACTGGCTTTGCAGCGAGCTCTTCGGCCGTCGCAGCGCAGAATGAGAGACCAGGATGTTTTGCCTCCTCGGCTGTCTGCTTCTCAATGGCGATCTTGACCATCTCACGAGAAATGTCGGATCCAAGGTAGCTCTTGACGGCATCGGCGAGCTTCAGCGCCGTAGAACCTGTTCCGCAGCCAAGCTCAAGAACCGTATCGGTTGGCTTCAGCAGGCTCCGTGTCTTTTCCAATGTGCGCTGATAGCCAGCTTCATCGGCGACGGGGGACTGGGCATATGATGGAGCCTTCTTATCCCAATATTGCTTGTCTCCCTCGGTGGACATTGTGGTGGCTGTAGAGAAGAGACAACTTCAATGCAGCAGAGACTTGCGTAATTCTGATGAGTGCGCAGTCAGTTCATTTAAGTGATTTGGTTCTCTCCTTCCACCTATTTTTGTCTCTTCGCATTTCAGACACTTAGGCCACGTCGCATTTTCCCATCCCGTATTTAGTCTCAGCCGCTGCCTGTTGAGGTCAGGCGGAAAGCCACCAGACACGACACAGATTCAGCCCACGGATAATCACGGGTCAGTCATCCAATCAAGGCCGTCGCTGCGTCTCCAACCACCTGAAATTGTGCTCGGTAAGTCATGCAGGTCGCATTGAATGCGAAGCCACCAATGCTGGGCGGGATTTATGATGATCCATCCGCAATTACTGGTCAAGTGCAGACAGCGCGATACCCTCCAATCAGGCCTCGCTAGGAGGCAGGCCAGATTATAGCCCTAGCAGACAAGACATATTCTAGCGAGGCTCTCAGTAGACAATGCCCTTGCGATTTTGGTGATTGGCACATGCCGTTGTTTAGTCCAGGAGCCGTCCAGCTGTATCATAACATGGTCGCATTGTCATTATATCATACCTTGCTAATAGACTCCTGGCTCGAATACACATACTGTTCTCCCCATTCAGGTCGTGAACCGACATGCTGCGTCCCCTCCATGAGCGCCTCGAGCTTGTCCTCCACCGTGATCCAGCCCTTCTTCTGCGTTGCCACTGCATACCTGATAGCATCTTTCCACTCCCTCCACCAGTTCTCCTCACTTTTCACCACATACTGCCGCCCCTGGACACCCGGCATCTCACTGGCAAAGGGCCACACTGATTGAACAACCTCGAACCGGCAGGTCTTGGACTTGAGCGAGGCCCACATACCGGACAGGCTCTTGAACCGCTTGCTCCCCTTCGCCGGGGCCTGGACCACAACCTTGGAGTGCGTGACTGGAAACTCAACCGCCACCGCGCCCTGGAACCCCGTCGACAGAATCACGCCACGCAGCTGGCCTTCCAGCCACGTCGTGTCCAAATTGGCCACCACACGCGTCATCACAAACGTCTTCTCCGGCGCCGGGTCTTCGACGAAGCGCTTACACCACTTGGCCAGGCCGCCAGGTCCCGTTGCAGGGGTGAGCTCCGGCTGGATCCCGCCGCGGTACGCCAGCTCCCCGTCGGAGACGAGTCGGAGGTAGTCCTTCTTGCTCTCCGGGCTCTCTGGGATGAGCAGGCCCATGAGGTTGATGTGCAGATCAAATTGGACGTTGTTGCTGACCGACCCCTTGATGTGGATCTGGGGTTTGGGCGGCACTGTAGCCTGTGAGCGTAGGAAGGCCTCCAGGGCGCTGGCATCCTGCGAAAGACTGGCATTTTGGGAGGTGAGGGTGGTGCGATCGGCTGAAAGCTGAAATGAAGGGGGTGAGTACAGCGAGTAGTTGAGATTGGGCAGGCCCTCGTTTGTCTGGCGCGGCGTCGGCGTCGGCGTCGGCGTCTGCGCTGGGCTGCTGCTTGTGCTTGCAGGTCCAGCCGGCTGTGGATTTGGTGATGCTGGTGTCGGGGTCAGCAGAGTGTAGGGAGGCGGCTGTGCGGATGCAGCGCCGCGGGACTGTTCGTCATCGTGGTGTTGTTGCATCGCGATTTTATCGCCCAATACTGAGCTGCCGCCACTCATTGTGTCTCTCCTCAAGAGGGCCCTGCGACAAGCTACACGGAATTGCCATGAGGGCACGTGCTGGAAGGGAAATGAGGGGAGGGCAGGCGGTGGGATATACTGGCCAAGCCTGCCATCTAATCTGGTCCTGGTCCCTGGCCCTCAGAGCCTCATCAACCTGTGGCGAGTGCAATCGAATCGATGGATGATGGTGGGCTGCCCGCGTCATACTGTGGCTATGCAGGCACATTGGGGCATCTCAGCAAGCACCAGCCTGGGCCTACCTCGAGCTGGCCCATCAGAACAAGGAATCTGGCGCTTGACGCATCTACAATAATTTATTTCACTTTTTCCCAAGGAGCGCCCTCGGCCAGACAGCAATTTACAGTTCTACTTCCACCACGGGCTCTGCATCTCGCGCTCGTCCCAAACAGTGGATGGACCACCCAATTACTGCTACACTACAGTCTGAAATATTTATCTGCTTCGGGGGCCGAGGCGGGATAAACTTCGTCTTCTTGGAATAACAAAGGCGGCGGTAGACATAGATGCGATACCTGTAGAAGCCTCCAGACCGGGGGCAATTCGTTCGCGACAGGAGGAAACGCCACGGAAGGCTCTGCACGCACGTCGTCGGTCCGTCGGTAAGGAGAGATCGAATTCGTCAAATTCGAGGCTAGAGGGATAGGATTCGTCGGTTTCGACAGGCGGCAGGTGGTTGAGTCGGTGACAGGAAGCAGCCGGCAATGGGTAATGGGCTGTGCGTGATTGTTGCCTTTGGTCGCATGCGAGGAGATTTTCGGCTGTCGCATTTTTGCGCTCCGGCCATCACCCACAACACACCTACCCTACACTCATATCTTCACCAAGAGAACCATCTTCGTCCACGAATCCATATATCCAACATGGTATTTGGGCTAGTTACGCATACTTCTTCCAATTTTCCAGGTATCTACAGAATTCTATTGATTATATCCCAGAAGAAGATAACTTAATGCATCTGATTCTAGGCACTCCTGGAGACTGATGCAGGAAATGTTCGAATTAGTTATCTTAATCACCTCGGACGATTGAGTATCACGAAAACACATAAAAACGCTAAATCATCGACCAAATCTTGCCAATAGGCCGTTTTCCGGACCCATCTTCTAATATCAGCATCGTACATTAGTAGCGCTGTCTGTAATCTTAGTCCACCGAAGAGGGGCACGCTCTGGGTGAAGCATCTGCAACAGCAATACCATCCTCGAATCCGTCTTAATGAGGTTTTTCACTCTCTCTCGCGCATTTCCCATATTCTCCTCACTCAGAGGTACAGGATCCACCCGCCAGTCCCGAAACAACCTTGCCAGTGTCGCCACAAATTCGACCTGTGAGAACTTGCGTCCGACGCAATCCCGTGAGCCGTCTGACCAACCGATGAAGCTTCCTCGGCGCGGTGTGATGAGCTCCTCTTTATCCAGTGTAGATGGAATGGAAGTCGACGTCATCCATCGCGATGGCCGCCAGTCAACTGCGTCGGATCCCCAGTTCTCGGGTTGTGTGTGTAAAGCTACATAGGCTGGAATAATCATCGTCTCTGGGGGTATGTGCACGACTTTGTCACCTATTTCGAGGGTTTGTGCTTGCTGATCGGTCCATTTCGCCACTGGAACTGGGGTATATAGCCTGATAGTCTCCATCAAGACGGCGAGACACCGTTTTAATCTGAGGAAGTCTTGAGTGTAGCTCCACTCTTCATCGTTCTCGCCGAGAACTTCCCGAATCTCCTCACGAATCCAGGCTTGCACATCTGGATTAGCAGCAAGGAAGTAGATGGCGAAGGTAAATGAATGAGCTGTAGTATCATGCCCTGCGAAGTTGAAGGCAAATATATTGCCGTAGATCTCGGCCTCAGTCAGGCCTGTTCCGGTCTTTGTTTCCTCATGGCTTGCACAAACAAGAGATTTCATAAGGTTACCTCCTCCTGTGTGGCCCTCTGAGAATGTCTTTTTCTCTTCTTCGTACAGATCCGTCATGTATTTCCTGAAAGTAACCCAGGCTTCGTGGATTTTCTGAATTCTTTTGGGCATCCAGGGTTTGGCAATAGTTTTGGTGCCCTGTGTCATGATTACCAAGCAGTTTTCTAGGATGGTCTGCAGAGAGTTCTTATATCTTGCTGAAATGCCACTGGTGCCCCTTTCTTCGTGGCCTTCAAATTTGAATGACTTGCCAAAACTAGCGCGGGACAAGACGTGGAGAGAAAGGGTACGGCAATCATCAGCAGCAGAGGTGAGAGACGGTTTGGTAGACCAATAATGAAGCATATCTTTGGCCAGCCAAAGAGCCTCCCGCCAGACGATTTCATTGGTGGGTTCATTAAAGCAACTTGCTGTAATTTTTCGTTGCATTCTCCATCGTTGTCCTTTGGCCTGTGTAGACGCTTATGGTCAGGACGAAGAGTTTTGGAAGTGAGGGAATGATGAGAAAGCTTACCGTGGCAATGCTGGGTCCAAAGACGTCAAGAATTTCTGTTAACTCAACGCATCGATGAAAGTCGGCTCGTCTCCGAAACACCTCCGTCAGGGCCTCTGGATTGGCAATATAGAGCCAGTTCCTTCCGGGCGTGACCATGACAAACGCATCTCCCATCTCATCATGAGAACGGCATCCATCATCCAGTTCCCACCCTCGAAAGTTGTATCTCGTGAAGTTGTTGTCTCCGAGACCAAATGGCAACCGCTTAATAATGGCGAGTACATGTCTATCGACCACTGTCCAGAATGGATTTGTATGGCTGATAGGAATAATCCGAATGGGCAAACCCATTGTACGTGCCTTTTTGTAGTTGGATACCAAAAACAAAAGGCAGTAGCTTGTCCAAAGTCCCCCAAGGCCTAGAAGGGCCCCTCCCACTGTTGATTGCCAACTCATAATGTCTTTATGACTGTGGTGTGTCCCTCTGAGCGCTTCAGTAATCGAAAAGATGGTAAGCTGGCGAAAGGAAATCAGGAGGGTTAGGAGAACACATTATAACCCGACTGGAATTGCCGGATCAACTTGGCTAATATCTGAGTAAGAACACAGTCGATGGATCCTTGTCTCTTGGGTTGGGTTATGCTTCCCGATGTAGAAAAACGTAATGCGCAGACTCTGGTTGGTCGGTACTGCTTGTTTGGAATTTAACAATTCTAGGTTTAGGTGGTTACAGGGTTCATGCGAGTGTGAGAAAATTAGTCCAGCTTACGTACCAATACCTATAATAGATGTATTATTCTAATTGGAAGAGGCAAAAATTAAATCTGGCAGGCCAGCCAACAAGGTGACAATAAATGAGATACTCAAGATATTGGACTAGTTATTCTCGGGTATTCGAACCGTATTATGAAATTATTGAGAGCTAACAATCAACGCTGAAGGAACGATGCAATGAAGATCGTTATTTATATCGTTATATATTGCCTTACTAGTGTTATAATTATAGAAGCTGGTCTACCTATAACCACCCTTCTATGTTTACAAGTTATCGAAAGCAATAAACCTTGCAGTATGATGTCTAGGATACCCCGGGTTTAGTTTGGCCTTTGGCATCAGTTTCACAACCACCCGAAGCTGCTTCTATAATAATGGCAGTGGGTTTACAATCTCAAGGGTCCTTCTGCCATGGAATAATCAGTAATTGGATTCCTACTAGATGGAGCTGGGCACTTGTATTCATCTTGAACGATGAGAGGCATTGAGAATAGTTAACTTCCTTTTCTTAGTGGTGACTAAAACACAAGCTTCTACAATATCAGTACCCATGATGGATACTTGAAACGACTTTTACCCATCATACATGCATGTAGTCTTTGGGTGCTGTAACGCGGCGGACTCTAACTCATCTTTCCTTTATTCCCGAAAAAAATAGTTTATTTATGGGCCTTCTTTAGACAATCGAAAATTTAAGCCTTCTATTAATTCTACTTTAATTAGTGGCCTCTAGCTATGGCGAATCATTATAGTTGCAATAATGCTAAATTTCTTTCCACTCAAGTAGCCAACCCATCAGCTTTGATAGATGTAGTTACTATCAAAAGGAAAATCTACGAAGCTTATCAATTATCAATGATAGATCAAGGATTTACCCTAATAGAAAATAATACATAGAATATTGTATCCTTTCCCATTACCACGGGGCCACCTGTAGGAGTGCGGATAAGCAAATAATCCGTTTCCGTTTTCTCCCCCCCAGAAATTGATACCCCGCGGGAGATTTCTCATTAGATGAATGTTTTCATCACCGCGACTCAGACCACTTCCCTTCTGGCACGTTGTTCTCCTCTTCTCGCTGAAATTATGGGAAAGCCGAGTGATTCTGGAAGCCCGAGAAGTCTGCTTTCGGAAGCAAACCCTCCCGTCCGCATTCTAGTCCAAACTCTGACCCATCTGGTCCCAGGAGAAAATAGTGACAGTAAAACTCGAGGGTTCCTGAATATTATATGCCAGAAGCACTGGAGATGTAATTTCGAGTTCCCTAAATTCCGCTGGGCAACTTATGGTTGTGACTTTGCCTCTGATAACCGACGTTGCTTCTTCCTAGTCGACTATGGCCGATCGCAAAATGACGCCGCCGTACCTATACTACCCTATGAGTGGACAGGAAAGTCCTTGTAAGAATATTCTCAAGGGATTTATGCTATTCTACGCTCACTGAATTCAAAGTGAATCTCGTATCCAACTGCTCCAAGTTCCAGAAATTCAAGCCAAGCTCAAATATGGCATCCCGTTCACCGAGTCACCGAAGCCTACCAAGAAGGAGAAGCCTGATAAGCGACCAATTCGAGCTGTCGTGAAATCGCGCTTGTCATATCTAGAAGAAGTCCCGACTCTAGAACTGGATTACATGAGAAGCCACCCAGAAGATTTGGCGTGGCTTGAGGCTCATGTCAGACCAAGGTTATGGAAAGAGTTCGTGGTACAGCTAAACAAGAAGAAACCTACAAATGCCCCTGAAATAGAAGAATAAATCGCAGGAGTGGCGAAGGATGGATAGGGTCCTTGAACGAGGGCCGATGTCGGCCCATGTTGGAACCAAACATCTGGCTTCGTCCCAAGCACTGCAAAAGCCGGAATAAGACCAAAGGCGTCCTGGAACCCTATGGAATGTTGTGGCTCGCTTTCAAATCTCCTGAAGGATAGGATTCAGGCCATGGCCATTGTTTTCCAATCATAATCAAGAAAACAAGAAGACAAGAAAACAAGAAGACAGAAAAAAGCAGCAACGGACCGACTAGATATCACAGGTGAACGTTGCCAACACTCTAAAGTAAGGCCCCTTCCAGTATCACGATAGAATTCTAGGCTAGAATTAAACAGAGCAAGCATGGCTGTATATTTTCTGGGTCTGAAATTACCCCACCACATATTAGCTGCGTTCTAGGGTCATTGGAAGGAACGACCAGAGTGATCACGACTTAATTCAGAATAAAGCCTCACTCGAGTGTTTCGAAACGCGATTTGTGTTTAATTCTGAGTTTAGAACCGAGGATATTGCTGGAACTAAGCCACAACTAAATTGTACAGACAGAAGAGGGCGAGTGAAATTGGCAGGCGAGTGGACGTATCTTGCGGGGATTGATGCTAATGCAGGTTTTACTCATACCTTGAGTTTATCGTGTAGGTCAATGCATTGATATCTGAGCTATGATAATAATCGCAGGACAATGCCGATTCCTGAGTGTGGCAGGTACTCAACCCGTAAACCAAGGTTGAGGAACCACTCGATAAGAATTTCCTATGGATCCACCGTCTTGTTGGAGATCTGGAGACTCGTGGCCAGATCTAATTTCAATCCCTCATTCATCTCACCTCTCAACTACCATCTCTCCATTCTCACAGAGAAGCCGTCACACAGACCCCGCATTCACCAGCATTCAAAATGCTACTAGACATTGACGAGAAAGATAATGTCGCTCGCATGGAGCGTGGGGATCTCTACTACGCATTTACTCCGCAGCTCGTTGCAGCTCGGAGGCGATGTGGGCAAGCTGTTGGACGCCTCAACAGAGCAGGGGAATTGACCCGGCGACAAATAGCCGAGCATTGGAAGGAGTAAGCTGATTGTTCCATAGATCAGCCAAGATACTTGGCTGACCACGATTGATTTCCTAGTATTACCAACAGCAATGAACCCCTCCCACCTCAAGCAGCAACTGAGGATGAGGAGGATGCTGTTCTGCACGAGTACCCCTGGATAGAGCGCCCGATAAATATTGACTACGGATACAATGTCAAAGTTGGAAGCAATGTCTTTATCAATTTCAACTGCACTATTCTTGACACCTGCGTCGTATCAATTGGCTCCCGGACTCTCGTCGGGCCTAACGTGTCATTCTTCAGCGGCACTCATCCCCTTGACCCCGAGCTACGCAATGGAACGAATGGACCCGAGTATGGTCGCCCAATTACAATCGGGGAGGACTGCTGGATAGGAGGCAATGCCACCATTCTTCCAGGAGTGACGATTGGGGACGGTTGCACTGTTGGAGCCGCAAGTGTTGTTACCAAGGTAAGAATTCTAGACATACCAGTTTCTGTTATTTTATTAAGGTTTTGCTAATGGACGAAATTTTCTTAGGATGTTCCTCCATTTCATGTTGTGGCAGGCAATCCTGCTCGGATTATTCGAAAACTGGAGCGAAAAGGCGAGCCAGCTTCGAATGAGGCTCAGTCAATACATACGTAGCCAGGTGCTCGTGGCTACAAACCACTGCAAGCCATCATCATTTTACAGACCCCCACTGTTGAGACTTACTCATATCCCAGAAAAAGTTCATACTGGTCGATTCACCGATTCTCATTTATTCAAAGGGTGATAACATTGAATTCCCTTAGATATCGAATTAGCAAAATCAAGATTATAGATGACTTCCCTTGTTAATCTTTATCCATTTGATACCTTACGGTCCAACATAAACCACTCCTGTGGAATAGACCTCTGAGATACTCGGCCAATAACATTTATGGCTACAATTGGCTCTTGGTCCTGTCGTACTCGGGGACATCTGCTCTGCGTTGGTAGTATAAAGTCACAAGAACAGACCACCGTCGGGGGGGAGTTTCTGGTTGTATAGGTGTCTCTGGCACATTTTTCCACCCTACTGACTTAGTCTAGATTGAAACTGCGGTATCACAAGCCTTAGAAGCTATGAGGAATGCCTGGTCAGTATCACTCTTAGTCCTCGATTCATGGGTGTAGCCACTGACTATTTCGCTGCCCGATGAAGTACTTCGAATGTCCTGTTGAGTTGCCAAGACTTGCTTGCTTTACCACTTCCTAGAATGTGAACAAGCTGAAATATACACAGTACGTGGTATCATACGGAGCTCCTTGAATAACTCTCATGCGTAGAAGCCAAGTTCCTGACCCTTTACAGTATGTGGGAGGGCGGTATTTCCAGCACTGCCAGGATCTGCGAAGATTATGCATTCCATCATGATCATCACCCGGAATCTCGTTCATCTACGTGGCCAATATCTCGGAACCTTGGAGATTACACAAATGGGCCAGAAGATCCGCCTATTATATACTTATATGAAAGGGTTTCGGATTTGAACCAGTAGCACCAACTCGTAGAGAACCCCATGCCATCCGCCCAGATCAAGGGAACATGGATAAGCTCTTCCCCCATTACCCCGCAAAAACAGGGTATATGCTTGCAAACTGCCAGTATTGATGAGGATTCAAATTGGCCCATGCAAGTGGGGAGGGAGAGCAAAAGGATTCCGCGTGGTCCAACAAATGTCTTAGGCGAGATCCCCATTAAACTGTCTAGACCGAGGTCAATAATTCGCACGCGGGAAATAATTCTAGCGCATGATCAACATTAGGATTGGTATACCACTACTCTGCTTGACATACGCCAGCATATTCTCTGCAGGACAGCGCGACGGCCAAGCCTGCAAGATATGCATCCGCCTGGCCGAAGACCCGCCATCCCAGGTGGTCGAATCGTATCTGCATGGTGCGGGGATATATGGTGCATGTGTGTCTGTTCGGATTCAGAAAGTATAAGAGGTCAGGCCGAGATGCGGCTTGCTCCTTCTCTAGTTTTGCGGTTCCTCATCAATTCTTCTCTGTTTATTCATAGATCATGGCTTCCACAGACCTTCCAAGTACCTACCGCGCAGCAGTTCGCCAGTCCGGCGGGGTTACTGCAACAACATCTGTTGTGAACATCGACATTCCCAAGGTCGGCCCTGGCCAAATTCTGGTCAAGATCACTTGGACGGGAGTATGTGGCTCTGACAAGTCCCTCCTGCGGGATGAATGGTCTGTTTTTGGAGTTGGCATGAAACCAGAAACCAACGGCATTGCCGGCCATGAAGGGGCTGGCGTAGTTGTAGCTGTTGGGGAGAGCGCCAGTGGCCGCTGGAGTGTTGGCGATCGAGCTGGCATCAAATGGATTGCCAGCGTCTGTGGAGAGTGTGAATTCTGTCTCAACGGCGTGGATGAGGTTCATTGTGTAAACCAGCTCAATAGCGGCTTCTCCTCGCCGGGCACGTTCCAGGAATACTGCCTGACAGATGCTCGATATGCAACTAAACTCCCTGATGGTGTGCTGGACGAAGAGGCTGGACCGATCATGTGTGGTGGCGTGACAGCCTACGGTGCATGCAAAAGGTAATGAAAGCCCACAAGAATCCTTCAGAGTAGTTCATTTCTGATCCTGACAGATCGGATGTCAAAGCTGGCCAATGGCTAGTCATTCTTGGGGCTGGAGGAGGCATTGGTCACTTCGCGATCCAATATGCCAAAGCGATGGGTATCCGGGTTATCGCTGTCGACGGTGGTGATGACAAGCGGGATCTTTGCTTCAAACTTGGCGCAGAAAAGTTCATCGACTTCAAAACCTCGAGTAATATCAGTGCCGAGATCGCCAGCATCACTCAGTACGGTGCCCATGGTGTCATTGTTTGTGCTGCCACCAAAGCTGCTTATGAGACTGCCCCGACCTACCTGCGCCCTGCAGGAACTCTTGTTACCATTGGTCTGCCAAAAGACGCTTCGATTCTTGCAGGAGCCCCTCCAATTATGGTAGCTCTCAAGCGATTGAAAATCGTGGGCAGTGTTGTTGGGAGCTTGAAAGAAGTGGAAGAGGCACTTGACTTTACTGCGAGAGGACTGGTTAAGGTAAGTTAATCAAGAAAGCAATCATCGGTAGTTCGAGTTCTTGATGACCAACTTCTTTTTTAGCCAATGCTTAGCAAAGGAAAGCTTGAGGACGTGGACGAGTGGATTGCTAAGTTGGACGCCGGTGGTGTTGTAGGCCGAGCAGTATTGCAAGTTAGCAGCTGAGTGTTCAATGGAAAACTCAGACGTCGTTTATAAGAGTTGGGAGCGGACGAGTTGACATCATCTGGAAGTAATTATGTGAATCGAAATCATCACACAATCATTCCTCGCCTCATGATAGGCAAAGCCCAGTGTCTCTCGTCAGCATAATTAGTTCTCAACCGCCCAAGATATTATCCCCTTCCCCCACCCACATCTATTTGAACGTGAAAGGGCCTGTAAGTCCGGCCGTGAGGCGATGGACTTCTTTCAAGTATAACATATATAGTGCATTAGCTCCCTAGCAACTAACATCAAACATCACAACCTCTAGCATTGAATTTTGATACAATATTAGAATAGATAACATAGTAATAAACATAATCAAGGTAAAAATAGTGGATGTTTTACGATTTCCTTCTTATTATAGTTAGTACTATTAATAAGAAAACTACCTTTTATCTCTAATACCTATCGCAACCTACATGTAAGGACTTCATCCATGGCTTTTGGCCCCTGGCCAGGTATCCACTGGCAATTTCATCGTCAAAGAGTTATATAATGGTATCTTCTTTCCTGCTCCACAACATTTCGCCTTAAGAACTACCTGGTTGACAGGAAAGGCGTGTTGTGGGTCCGTCTTACACAAGAATGAATTAACTCTCTGTTATAGCGAATTCTAGTTCAAGCTCCGTGTCACTTGATTGCAGTTCAAAAATAGATCCCGAGTTAAAATAGAAGGAATTATAAAGTAATAACTTCATTACGTGCCAAAGTGAGAGCATCCCGCTTCATTTTTCAGAATCAACTTCAGAAAACTTGCCCGCATGGCAGAGATACACCGCGGATCGGCTTGTAAGGGCGTGATGATGACATGAATTGGTGGGCCTGGCATTTGACGTGGGTCCTCCGCGCTACGGAGACTTGGAATAAGGGCATAAGACTCTAGTATCCGTGATATAAGTATCAATAGTTCGTCGATAGAAAAGTAGCTGGTGGTAAGATACCAATGACTGCTTCAATACATCTCTTAACTCATCATGGCTTTCCAATCCGAGGGCATCTGTTCCCTTCAAACAGAAATCGATGTTGTTCATTCAGCCATGCAATCAGTTCTTCAACGGCTGTTAACAACAACACAAGATGTTTCCAATGATCCTATCATTAAAGTCGCAGAGGCGAAAGATATCCCTACCCTCAAACATATCGGTACTCCTGGTGATGCTCACTCCGTTGAACAAGTCATTGATGAGGCTTTCATTGCGTTTGACAACCGCATGAGAGTAAATCATCCTCGTTTCATGGGCCTCATACCATCACCAACCTCTCCTATTGCCTGGCTGGGTGACTGCATTGCCAGCGCTTTTAATGCTTTGGGCGCCTCTAAGCTCCAAGCATCCGGGCCTGTTGTGATTGAAAAGACTTTGATCGAGTGGCTCGCAGGTCGCGCCGGATTCCCGTCCACAGCAGGGGGCGTGTGCGTCTCCGGCGGCTCAATGGCAAATTTGATGGCAATTGTTCTGGCTCGCGATCGTATTGTTCCCCTCAGGGAGCACCAGGAACGGGCAGTGGCCTATCTATCAGATCAGACACATTATTCAATTGCTAAGGCGCTACGGCTGCTTGGGTTTGCCAAATCTCAAGTAAGACAGCTCCCCGCAGACGACAACTACCAGCTAAGCCCACGCCGCCTCGAGGCGGCAATGCGGGCCGACCGTGAGAACGGGCTGGTCCCATTTCTCGTCGTTGGAACATGCGGTACGACAAACACGGGAGCGGTTGACCCCCTGGCTGAAATTGCCCAAGTATGCAAGGGCCAAGGGGCATGGTTCCATGTTGATGGAGCATTTGGGGCGACGGCGACGTTATCAGCCACCAGATCAAGCACCGTCCGCGAGATCAGACATGCGGACAGCATGTCCTGGGATGCGCATAAATGGCTGTTCCAGACATATAGCTGCGGCCTGCTCCTGGTGAAAAATAGGAGCCACCTGGTGTCAAGTTTCGCAAACGAAGGCGACTACCTCCGCGATGGCGTTGCTCTGGAAGACGAAGAGATACCCAACTTTTGGAACTACACTATGGAGCTCACACGGCCGTCCTCCCGTGCAATGAAGCTGTGGTTTACATTACGGGTAATGGGTGTGGATAGAATTGGAAAGATGATTGACCATGGGTTTGCTCTCGCAGAGAGAGCTGAGGAGGAATTGCGCAAGCTTCCGGACTGGGAAATTACAAGTCGTGCAAGCGTGGGCGTTATCACATTTCGATATGCGCCCAAGGATGCCTCGGCGGACAGGCTTGACGAGATCAATACGGCTGTGTCTCGGAGCCTGGTGTCCAATAACACAGCTGGCATTCTGACCACCAAGGTCCGTGGCAAAGTTGCGTTGAGAATATGTGCTCTAAGCCCTCATCTGAGCCTTGAGGAAATGTCCGAAATAGTGAAAACGGCGGATCAGCTTGCGAGAGATTTACAAAAGGGGAATTCTAGGGAGGCATGATGCATTTGAGGCGTCTGACTCCCCTGTTTTCTTAGGCCTCTCATTGGATCTCATTCTTCATTTCACAAACGCCATCTCCGATAACTTACATTCCGGGCCCCCCGATTTTTATTGTTTACCTAGGCTCTACCTTGCAGGGAGGTCTGAACGGGGGTCATGGCGGATGCCTTCCTTGTTGCAATATTATGTGACATATCACATCCCACGCAGCCCAGGCACTGGACATTGCCGACCTTCAGGCATCAATCAATCATGCTAGGCCTGCCTGACGGAAGTTCGCGGACCATTTTCGGTGAAAGAATCAAGGCGCTGAGTTGAAGCTGCAGAGAGGGGGAGGAGGGTTGGAGCGACTAAAGCAATAGCTGAGCATTTGGACCACGACTTACATATGCTGCTATTGAAAAATAGAAGAAATAGAACCATGCGTGTAAATCACGAAATTAGATTGAATTTCTAAATGCATAGAATAGTACATTATGCTAATCGTCATTGCGGCTACCAGAGCCTCCCTATATCCGTCGTGTATCATCCCTTTTGCCATTGAAAATGAAGAAGTCAAGAAGTAATGAAAAAACCACAGGGTCAAAAAATAATGATAGTAAGAAGTGACCACTTGCTCGTTGAATGAACAGAAGGAGAAGGTGGTAGGAGCTCATCAAGCCTCAAGGATTGATGAGGTGAGAGATGTCACATCATGGACCATTCGCGACACTAATGTGAAGGTGCTTCCGTACAATTGTATCAATCTCTTCAATAACCGCCGAGGCGACTTGACTGTCGCTTTGGGACAGATCTCTGGGAGACTGAACTCCCCAGACATCTTGCACAGCAAGGCAATGCTTCTTCGTCAAATCCCGAATGGCACTGGAGGGAAGTCAGTCAGCATTGGTGATGATAAAGCAAGAAAATGCGCATCGCGTCACATACCTAAGCTTTGTGATCTCCAGGTCCATGTTGACCACGCTCGACAGGTCTGTGAGGTGTGATCTGCGCCTCGACTCCTCATGCACATCTACGGCTGCCTGGTGGATGGCCGGGCTCTCCAAGATGCTCTTGGTGAGGTCGGCCCAGAACTGCGACACCAGCAGAAGATACTCCCCCAGGCCTGTGGTGAGAGGATTGGGGTCCATCAACGAGGCCCCCGTTGCCATGTTGTTCAGGGCGGTCCTCGAAATGAGTTCAACGTGGCTCTGCACAAGGCGGTGTAATTCTGGCATGGTGACTTCTGCGCCATCCGTGGGCCTGTTTCCGATAACGTTGGATTGCTGGGACATGGCGTGCAGCAAATAAACCGGAAGGATGATTCTTGTTGAGCGCCTGCGACCGTGTATTGAGACCAGAACGACGGGAAAACAAACACACCACCACCACCGCAAAAGACCACAACGGGGGATTGGAGGGGGAAAGAAGCAATGTCAAGTTCGGCTAGGGAGAATTGATTGATTTCTCAACCTGGCGGCCAGTGCGATCGAAAATCAGACGCAGCTAGCAACGGATGTGGAACAGGGGGGAGGGGGCCAAGAGGGTGAATTGCTGATCCCAGACTCAGACGGCTGTCGCTGGCTTACGCGGGCAACTCCGTAAGTGAATGACAGGCGCAGAGGGGAGCATGTATATACCAAGAGCAGAGCAAGGAATTGCGTACCATGCTGTACCTGACCTGTCGAGGTGGTCAGCCAACTCTAACCGGCAGCCGGCTGATGCTAGCTGAAGTAGCCACGGACTAATAATTAGGGTCTTGGGTAACGTTTGTTGGTTAGGATCAGATCCAGCTAGTCTGTGGAGGAAAGGGGAAACAAAACCAGTGCCGGGAAAAAGCCTTCTGTGTGTCTGAGTGTCCGGCTGAGAAGACCCAATTAGGCGAGCGCGGATGACCCGACATCTCAATTTGTCTTATCTTTGGGGAATGGCCATTGGCTCCAAGCTGGAACCAGTGGCTCTAGTGCTGGGCTCCTCTGACACTGGTGAGGTGCCGTGTCTCTAGTCAGAGAGACAACGACCCTACTTGTTCTCTCACTCGGAAGAGGACGAGACGACACGAGGAATCATCGGGATGGAGCATTTCCTTGCCTGCCGCCACCAGCAGGTAGCCAAAACCAAGGCAAGCCCATGGATGACTCCACCTGCAATGCTCCCTACTTGCTTGATTGATCCGACACAAGCTCCGCTTCGTTGCAGCTCGACCCGTATCCCGCAATGCCCTTTCGGCCGAGCGTGGTAGGATAGCATGGTAAGCTCCTGTGCGGTGTACTTGTGAGTCTTTGTTGTCTCTCACCTACAGCTCGCGCACGGCACGGCCAGTCCAGACTTGCAAGGCGCCTTCGCTGACACGCACCACCACCAAGGACGTGTCCGACTTGTACCCCTGCAATTAGACACACAGATGGCACCCGCGTGCTCTGTTTGTCCGACTCTTGCGAGAACAGCTCTTTGTGCATGGTCCTCACTGAGCGAGATGGTGCCTGGGACGGGCTGGGCAAGCGAGCTCTGGCGAGCAGTCGAGCCAGGGTCCAGCAAAATTTTCCATCCGGGGGAGGGGCGATTAGCAGTGGATCGTCCCCCCTCTTCCCCTTCCCATTCCAAGGCCCCGGGGCGGCTGAGCTGGACGGGGAGAGCGATGTGGTGATGTGCAATGGCTTATTTGGGTTGGTTTGGTCGGATGGTGCCATGCAGCATGGCACTCTCAGCCTACCCACCAGCTTTGGCTTTAGCCGGGTGCGGTCTGGGCTTGCTAGACATGTGTGCATACCAAGAAGCGACGCCACTGCCCACAGCCGTAAAACACATGTGCTGTGCCTGCTTGGGCTGACCGTTGTTCTCCCCTTTCTCAACCATCTCCCCCCTGTGTTCGGCCCTGCGTCATCTACTCCACCATGTCGCAAGGAGCAAGAGCGGGCGACGAGAGGAGAGAGAGAAGGGGTGGGTACGAGACCCAGACAAGAGGGAGGTGTTCCATGCTGCGTGCATTGTGGATGCCCTCGATCAAATTCTGTGAATGTATGTAGGCACGTCGCAGGGGGGCCCGCCGGCTCGTTGTGTAGATTGCGCTGGAACATGTTAATTTCACCCATTCACCGTACAGGCTATCTTTAGCTCGCGTGATCAAGTGTTACTTGCAGCTCCATGCATACAGAAAGAGGGAGGGTGTGAGTACCTGTGTTCCTCACGGGGCCAGCTCGCGCAGCTTCTTGGAGTGTTTGCTTTGCTCTGCAAGTTTCAAAGCGATCCCCACGCCGAATCATGCAGCCTCTCACCGGCTACTTGATTGCCCTCATGTCACTTTTCATAGATACTCGGGAGAAATTTCCATCCGGAGATGGAGGGAGGAGCCAAGCATGGATGATGCTGGAAAGATCTGTCGGCCCGCTCACGCAATTGTTGTTTCCCTGTGGATGATCCTGAGGAGCAGCAGCCTGTCACTCAATCAGCAAGATCCAAAATATGACAGAACGGTGCTCGCGTCATTTTGTTCTTTCCTCTCCGGTGCGGGACCCTGTCTCGTCTCGTCTCGGCCGGCCATGCAAAAGAAGCCGAGCATCTACGGCACTGTCTCCGCGCACGAAGCTCCTCGCGACGAGACTGGACCCAGTGGGATGAATGGATTCAAGAACAAGTCAGACCCATGCCAAACATCCCCACTCCAAGTCGCCGCCATCTAGATTGTTGTTTCCTCAATCGGGCGCTAAGGCAGGATGAGCCGCTCTAATTAACCACTAAGTATGAGGGAGGGTTTACTAGGAGGTATCCGTAACGACGTGACCGATCACGGCCGACATCCAGAAAGTGATACCGCCATGAGGGAGCAGACATTCCCAGTGACATGTTCTTTGGCCATGGCATCATTGTGGCGAGCCTAATTTCCACGTTGGCTTGGCTGTCTCTCTTTTCTTTTCTTTTTCAAATACATAAAAAAAAAAGACAATTTCCCCCATGCACACAGCTACCGAATCCATCCATGGGCTGGATAGACATGAGCTGAGCTAGTTTCAGGGCCACGAGGAAACATGCTGTGTCTCTCCTCCCGCTCCGGTGGGTGTGGAAACAATGCAGCGTGGTGTGACATGTGGTGTCTGGGTCGATGTTAGGCCGCACCGTATCCCTTTATTTCGCCGAGAGGACGGAAAAGAGGCAACCTTGGGCAGAGCGGCAAGAGGGCAGATGCACAACGAGGCTTGGCATCCGGTCAAGATGATATCGCCCAGCCAAATGATAATTGATCGGCGCCCATCGGGTCACAGGCCTGCCTTGCATGCAGCAACGTGGCAGCACACCGGTCTGTACCTCCCAGAGTCTGTATCTACGGGCTATCAACTGCTAGGCGAAGTGTGATGTCTGAAGTGAAAACGGGCTGTTTGTGATACGTCCCAAAAGCAAAGAAACCTTCCAGGCCCTCCAGCTATAAATTCTGCAAGTCGACAGTCCTGATCTACCCGGATCAAACTGCTCCCCAACAACCTTCCATCTCCTCTCAAGCAAACGTCCCACCCACTCGAGACATCTAGTCCCTTCTCGCAAGATGAACCAATCATCATCCATTCTCATTGTTGGCGGAGGTGCCTTTGGTACCTCAACCGCCTATCACCTCGCTCTTCGCGGCTACCAGAACGTAACCGTTGTTGACCGCTTCGAACCCCCATCCCGAGATGCGGCAGCCACAGACCTCAACAAGGTTATCCGTGCTGATTATCCCAACCCCCTTTATACCAATTTGGGACTTGAAGCCATGCAGGTTTGGAAGGACCCCAAGTCCATCTTCTCCGGTCTCTTTCGGGAAACTGGTTGGATTATGGGCGCCCATGATCTCACCAAAGACTGGCTAGAGACGGCACGAGAGGTGGGCGAGAAAGCCGGCCGCCCTGGAATCACCTACCTCTCAGCTGAAGACATTCGCGCCAGATGGCCCGCATTGACTGGTGACTTCCCGGACTGGACTAATTTGTACAGTCCAGCCGCTGGATGGGTAATGATGAAACCAAACCTTGACCCCATTCCCTCTTACATTTCTCTCCCTTCCTCCTCCCCAATGTAACCGTGAAATTGACCGGCTGCTGATCGATAATGACAAGGTTCCCTCCGGGCAAGCGCTTCTCCGTTTGGCTGAAGCGGCCAAGCAGAATGGTGTCCGCTACGTCACTGGTGATGCAGGCCAGATCAAGGAGCTTTGGTACGACAGCAGAGGAACCTGCAAGGGTGCCATTTCGGCCGATGGTCAGCTCCATGAGGCAGACATCGTCGTCGTAGCTGCAGGTGCTGGTCTGCCTGCACTCGTAGAGGGTGCCAACACTGATGTAGTGGCGCAAACATCGGCAATATGCGTCATTCAGTTGGAGCCACACGAAGTCGACCGATATCGTAACTTTCCTGTCGTCGATGACTTTGAGCAAGGTAAGCTGGTCAGGCGAGCCAGGTCTTCCCGATGTCCCTTCGACCTGCCCTGCATGCCCCGGCCCAGTCTTGCCTGGGTCCAGGGGTGAAAGATCGATGCATGAGCTTAAGCTAATGCAAGTGATGCCATTTCAATAGGTATACTGTTTCCCGCAGATGAGAACGGCCTGATCAAGATTTGCAGCGTCCGACTAGTCACAAACTACAACAACCACAACGTGCCCAATGCCTCGGTCCTCCATTCACTAGGGGACTTCCCGCATGATGGTACCCCAGCGGAGCTGGAGGAGGAGATGCGCCAATTCTTGCGCGAATCAGTCCCAGAACTGGCTGACCGACCTTTCGTCTCAACTAAGCTCTGTTGGTAAGTTAGCACTTTCTTGCAGGTTTCCTCCTCTTCTTCCCAATTCCTACGACCTTGTATACACCTTCCACTCTGTCGTGTCACGCCACAGAAGAGCCCAGTTTTACGACGCTGCAACCCAGCTACAAAGACAACATACTTCCTTAACCCCTGTACACACTATGCATGCGGCATGCCCATCTCGGCTCTTTTGGTGTGGAAACAGACAAGGTGGCAATCTTGCATGATTCTTCTCTCCCCTCGCAGAAAGTCCCTGATCATCATTTGCTCTCTGACGCTAATGCCTCGTCTACTTCTCTCCAATAGGGACGGCATGGCCACAGATCTAAACTTTCGAATCTGCCCTTACCCTGATACCAAAAACCTTTTTATTGCCACAGCGGGCTCCAATCACGGGTTCAAGTTCATGCCAGTGATCGGCAAGTATGTCGCCGATATGATTGAGGGGCATCTGAGCAAGGATCTAGCCGATCTTTGGAGCTGGAAGTTTGGGAAAGTTCCGGCCAACTTTCAGGACCCCCACCCATGGCCTCTCCGGGATCTTTCTGAATTGACTGGGTGGAAAAACAGAAATGCCCCTGCCGCAGCTGACAAACTGCCTTGGTCCAGCCGTCTGTAACAGCGGATGGATAACGTGGCCAAGTTGATCCTGGAACAAGGGGGGTGAACCCATCGGTTATGTTATTAGCCAGCTAGTTAATTACTACGCCACGTCTCTTAGTGCAACACTGAGCCTCATGAACCGCATGTTCGCGCTCTTCCCAAGTCGTTCTAGTAGTAGAGCCAGCCATGCCTGTGGGTACGTGTTAGGATGGATCTGATCTGCACATCATGGGATTCGGAAATTGCTGCTCCTCCGAACCAAGCTTCCGGTTTTGCTTAGCCCAAGATGGAAATACATCAGTCGTTTAGCGCTGTTTCCTCGTTTCCTCTTCACTAACTCGCCATGACGTACTCTGCCAACAAGACGAGAAACGTGCCCACATCCCTCGCCCATCCTCCCTCGGCTTCCTTCGGATCTCCCACCCAGTTGATGAAGCAATAGTGCAACTATCGTGAGCCCAGGCCATGCAAGGCATCTGACTAGATTCTTTACCGGTGTGGATCCAGTCCAGCGGCCCTTTCACCGATGCTACACATCTGATGCCCAGCCCAATGTCCACACTCTTTTCTCCCCCTCCTGGGAGCGGCAACGTTTCTTGCCACTGTTGACGATTGAGAAAACATGACACCCCAACAGCTTGCTGATTTGACTGGTGCCAATGATACTCCGATAGCTCATTAAACCCTCAAAGTCAGAACGCTAGCTGGGCATTCAGCTTCGCTCTCAAGATGGCTATCAGTTCTTCAAAGTCTCCATACTACCTTGTTAGCTCTGCATATTTCGCACACCGCGTTTGTCCTCTACCATGGGCAAGTTCAAGGGCCGAAATGCAGTTGCCTGCATCCCTTGTCATTCACAAAAAGTAAAATGCAATGGAGGTACGGCTGTGGTTCAATTTATCCCTGTCCTTCCACCCTGAAAAATCGTTACCAACTTTGGCCAGAGGCACCCTGCGAGCGATGCCTCCAGAAGGGGCGAGAGTGCACTTATCCAGAGAGGAAGCCGAAACTCGTCTCGGTGTCCGAGAGTTATATCTCAGAACTTGAGAGAAATGCTGGCCGGGCTCAGACCTCCGAATCGTCTTCAAGAAGAACTGCATCAGCATCCAATACCAATACAGGCCTCGTCTTCGAAATCATGCTCCCAGAGTCGGGCATAGCTTTGAAGAACGCTCGACTCGACAGCGAGTCCAGCACCGAGCGGTTTGTGCGTCAGTTGAAGGAGCTGGCATTGTCTGAAATATCAAGTAGCAATCAGGCTACGTCCTGTACGGATTATACCAGCCTCCATGGGAAGTATGACGATATGTGTACGCAATATTTCCAATCCGAAAGCAAGTGCTCACACGCTGACACTCAATACCAGTGCCAGATCTTACAATCAAATTACCGTCGATGCCACTAGCAATACATCTCTTCGAAAAGTTCGAAGAAGTGTTTTGCGATTGTCATTGGTTCATGCGCCAGGACTTCAGGGAACACCTTGTGATCTTCTATTCAAACCCACACCCCCAGACAAGCAACAGGAAATGGCTTTGCCTAGCATCGTTAGTCTTTGCTCTCGCATCCACTTTCATGTATGAACAAGACTCCCATGACCCCAATACTTGCGCAAAGATCTCAACACCGGGGGCTGATGTTTCTTGGGAAACACCTTTACCACCAGGATTTGGTTTGTTCGAGCAGGCTCGCAAGGTTTTTATCACATTTTCGGAAAATCCCTCCACAGAAGATATTGAGATCCTAAATCTAATGGTGTGCTACGACCTTTCACAATTTCATATTACTTGCATGCCAACTAATCAGAGGTAGGCCTTCTATTGCTACACACTTAATCGTCGAAAAACTGCATTCCTCTACACAAGTCAGAGCATGGCGCTTGCGAAATTACTGCAGCTTGGCAAACCGTCTCTCCCACTAGTAGTGGAATCTCTACCTAGAAACAACGAGAACGCGTTATCTATTGAGCATCGGAAGCGACTATGGTGGACCTGTTTCCTCATGGATCGGATGATCTCTGTGGAACTTGGGTTGACGCCCACAGAAGCAACCTTCCCAGCTGATATTGCTCCTCCCTCCTCAAAGAATATCCCTCCAGGTGACCTAGATCAGCTTTTTGACTCCGACTTGTTCAGGTTGCAGATTCGTATCAGCGAGCTCAAACTCAGGGTTGCCCGTATTGAAGACCTTCTCCGGGAGACCTCTGAATACCACGATAGCATAGTTCAATCTCTGAAAGAAAGCCTAGACTCACTTCAGGATTTCAGGGTATCTATCCCCAATTACATGTCCCTTGACTTTTCTAAGGACTCCTCCGCAGCGATTTGCAATCTACCATGGGCAAGAGGCATAGCCACACTTTACCTTCGATATCACCAGGTAAAAGGCCCCCCCTTGCTTACCCCTATCGATATCAGGATAGTCTCCTAAGTGCAAGCAGTGCTACGCAGCTCTTCTACAGCCCGTTTATTACAATCATTTAGTACTGGCGTTGAAAAGTGCACCCAGTCCCGAATTGAGTCCTATTGTTTCCCGACTGATGGAGGAAGGCCTTCACGCAGCTCGAAGTAACTGCCAGATCATCCTTGATCTCTTCCAAAGAGGAAGAAATGGTGCGTTCTCCAAATCGTTTTTTTTCTTGCTCGAGTCTTCTAACGAGTTCCGACAGCAAGATATGGCTATTGGGATTCTGCTCATCTCTTCTCCGGACTTGTCATTCTATCGCTGTCTCGGATCATGACCAAAGGCCATGAGAATGATGAGTTATCAGGAAGTGACACTAGGCTTTACAATACTTGCCGAGCCATCCTACATGGCATGGCTAGTGCAGGCAACCCATCATCCAAGGACCATTTATCTCATTTGGCAGATGTAGAGCCCATAGTTGATATGCTGATGTTGGGGGATAATATCATGGTCGACGAGTCAGATAACTTGCTCCTATTCTGGGCCAATTTTGAGGTAAATGAGACGATGGAGGACGATATTTGGCCAGATGTCAACTGGGATGGTCCAAGTTGACTAGCATAGCGCATATATCAATAGAACTAGTTCAACGTTGTCACCTAAGTCACAAGGAAACTTCAGAAGGCTATCCCGAAGTAGAGGAAGCCCATCTTAGCGTAGGTGCAAGCATTATATTGTCTCTTCTAATGGTCACTTAGAGTAAAGTATTCAGCGCTTCAGTCGTCTGAAGAATTCCCCAAGTCACATCCTCGTGGGGGGGGGCCTGAATTCATACACAACCAATAGAATAAGACCCAATTAAGAGAGAGGGCCTTATTTAAAGCCAGCAGATTGCGGATAAGGTCATCCATGATGAAAATGAGCAATGAAACTACAGCCATATATTAGCATGATCGGATAAGTGAGTCAAGTACTCGATCTAATTGGCGCGCATATCTGGGGTCATCGGATATGATTGTACCGCGAAAAGACGGGTACAAGGGATCCCCGGTCTACTTTATTGCACTTTAGGTCGGTGAGCCGACGCTACCGCCCTGCGCAATTGTTGAATTCTCATCCGTAGGCTTTCACCTCTCCCTGTGTAATCAACATTGAATATGGAGTAGTTCCAGCTATCATATTAGATCGCACAATGAGTACAGTTCAATTCGATCTATGGAGGATTTTCAAGATTCTTATCGGAATGAATCTGGTTCATGAACGAATTCTAGTTATTCTAGAGCCTCCAGTCCTGTCAATAGAGCAGCAGGGATCGGTAGCACGTACTGCGCTTAATATCAGGCTGGAGCTTCGGACCCAGCCGGTCCTCGTTCGAAGAGGGAAAGAAGTCCGCATTAAGCCCCTGGACAGTCAGATCAATCTCTAAATGAAGATCCACGCTGACAGGTCTTTCCAGATAACCCCCTGTAATGCCAAGTGCCTAGATAAACTTTGATTGATCTGAAAACAGGTCGATCAAGAAAGCCATCTTGGCGACCCAGAATAATAGTTTCATAGCCCTAAATTAAGAAGGTGCATGGCGATGGTGATCGGAAAAACAAATCAAAACTGCTTAGCCATGTTCGATGAAATCTTTGTCAACTTCTCGTAAGCCCCATAAGATTAAGAAGGTGCATTCTCATCTTGATACGCTTGGCAACACGTCAACCACATGGCCGCGATCATAACACATCTTGACAACTTAAAATCAAACCATGCTCTCTAAAATTTCAATCAACGGATTTTACTTTCACTCGAAGGCTTAATCGACTCATCCAGGTATTCAGATTTCCCTAGAGAACAGCAACCATGGTGGATTCCTCAAGATCTCTTCGACGCCTCGCCGCGATCTCAATTCTTACCATAATTCCCTCCTTCGTGAGTGCAGACGACTCGGCCGTTGCAGTAGGGCTTCACTCATGTCTAAGTAATGCTGGTGTGCGAAGCATCATCAACTCAGATTCAACATGGGCCAAAGAAACCATTGGGTTCCAAAAGCGTTTGACATATAATCCTGCTTGTATTGCTTTCCCTGAGAGCAATGAAGATGTGGCTGTCTCTCTAAGCTGCGCTCGGAATGCCTCTGTAAAGGCCACTGCTCTTGGGCCTGGCCATTCTTTCCAGGGATATGGTTTTGGTAACCCGGGAAACTTGGTCATCAACATGGCTGCCTTTAATTCTGTCAGTTACGACGAAGCTAGCACCCACTTGACATTCGGCGGCGGTACACACGTTGGTCCCGTCATGAAATATCTGTGGGATACTGCGGGTCGCCATGTCCCGCATGTCCGTGGTGCTCATGTCGGCGTCACTGGCTCCAGCATGGGGGGTGGTTATGGGAGTACGTCCCGCCATCTTGGAACACCAATGGACAATCTTGTGTCCATTGACTACATGCTTTATAATGGTACCACCATCAAGGCTGAGAAGGGCTCTGATCTATTTTGGGCGGCCCAGGGCGCTGGATCGTCCTTTGGAATTGTCCTCTCAGCAACCACAAAGACTCACAAGCCGTTGTACGACACAGCTGTCCGCTTCACCATCAATTTCGGAAATGTGTCTGTTGAAACCGCTGCCCGCGCGTTGATTACAATACAAGAGTACTCAATTGGACCTGACTGTCCAGATGAGCTCGCTCTACGTTGGACTCTGAACGCTCCTCCGTACTCTGGTACGGGATACTTTTATGGCGACCCCACAAAGTTCGATGCCGTCTTGGATCCCTTGGTCAGCAATCTCAAAGGGCTTAACAATGGTACAACTATAACAAAGAACGAACTCTCATTCTGGGATATGGAGGTTTCAGTCGCTGGGGCTGGTATGGAGCTGCCAAATGGAGGAAGTCTTGGGGGACGATCATTCTATACTCAGGCCCTGACAACAACTACCGACCACCCCTTGACATTCGAGCAGACCTTTACTTTATTCAAGAGCACTATACTATCTTTTGATCGAACCGATATGAACAAGTCTGGCTTCCTTGACCTCTGGGGCGGAGTCTCGCGCGACATTAAGGATGAGGACACTGCCCATGCCCACGGCAAGAACTTGTGGCTTATTCGCTGGGAATCAAACAGCTCCGGCGACTACCCTGAAGATGGCCCTGTTTACATGAAAAGTCTCATTGAGCCCTTCGAAAAGTCTCTGACTGGCTCTGGTGTGCCTCTCAGGGGCTTCGTTAACTACGCAGATACGGAATTAAGCGAGGAAGAATGGAGCGCCCGTCTGTACGGGAAGAACTACGATCGCTTGAAGCAAATCAAAAAGGAAATTGATCCAGAGGGTCTTTTTACTAGCCATGCTCAATCCATCCCCCTTCCATAAACAGAGAGAGGTGATGGGTGAACATGTATATAGCTAAGGTAGAGACTGGATCAATGGGGTAGAGGATTCGAATTGAAAAGGGGGGAATCAAGATAGATGCACGTTATCAATAAAATATCACAAGATACCATTTGATGATGTTCATTATGTAAATTCCCTGGATGATCTAACTTAGAAATATGTCTTTTTCGAGGATCCTTCACGCCCTTTGAGCCTCAAGAAGATTCATATTAGACACACAAGTGGCGCTACACAAGCGTCAGACTGATTTTAATTAGCAGGAAGGTTGCTGATTTGTAATAGAGGCCCTCATTGAGTGGAAATACTTACGATATTCAGGAGGTAACCAGTCTTACACTGGCATCCTGTAACGCAGTAGAGGGGACAGACTCTACAGAGAAACAGACAGGAGGGAAAGTTGATCCACAATGCCTATATTACTAGGCTGTACGAACTTTCGTGTTAGATAAAACTCTCGGTGGCTCTAAAGACAGCTCTGGAGGATGGGATGGCTTACACCGCATTGCGGCTGATCAGCTTGATTACGTTCACATCTGGTAAAGGACTTGTTATGATCCCGGGACCCAAGGATGGAATTGAAAATATAAACGAAATTTTCATTTTATTATGCTGACAGGTTTACCTCAAATTATTAGATGATTTTACTTCCAACCGATCATAACTTTGGTCCTTAAAAGAAAGGTTTAAGGAGAAGTAGTTCTTAGACCGCTCTCTCTTAAAGACGATTTGGAAAAGTTAAAATCGCTTCTACATTGAGATATTGACTTTCGTACTCCAAGACAATAGGTGTAGAGAAACGTAGACATCGCCCAGCTTTCTGTTCAACTGATAAGGGTTGAGCGGTTGACATTGAATTTGAGACACTCAAGCGTTGTACAATTTACCTATTTTCGAGCCTGCAATTAGTATTATCAGATTATTGATTACTAGTAATAAATATATAAGAGGTAGTACACTAAATGGTGAATACTGCTGAAGCATTCTAGTCATCATAGAAAGCACCTAATCCCCCCTCAATTTGATGTCTCATTCCTTCTGTCGTTTCTGGGATCATAAGATGGAGTATTCCTCGGTGAGACTGCTGTGCTACCGTTAGGATCAAAGCGTATCTCGGGAACTTGCACCGAATAATATCCCACAAGGCCTCGGCCCTGCTCAGTGATCCTCCGGATTAGCCATGGAGACTCTGGCTGTAAACAGTCTGTGCGGCTGAGATGCGAGCATTAACAATATCCGGATTACATCGTAGCCCTATCTTTCATATTGATATCACCTCGTCAGCATTTTTATATGACTACCATATACATAGAGCAACCACTATTCAGCTGCTTAATATACCTCATATCGATTTTCTCAAGAGCTTCCAAGCATTACAATCCTGCGTGCGTACTAATTTACACCGCCAACCCTCAAAGTCAAACTTTAATACTCGACGATTATTGAAACCAGTGTATTATCCTGAACGATAGTCTTGATATCAACATACGCAGACACATTTACACTGGCTGTTGAAACGCCCGAGTCGTGAAAAAGTTTCCGTTAAAGAGTGGAGCTATTTTTCTCTCGCTGATTCTATAAACGAAAATAAAAAAGAAAAAGAAAATGGTCTGATAGCTCAGAAGCTTTTTTGTTGTGTTGTGTTTGATAAAGCCGATTATCTATTGATGCCGTGTTTTTCTTGTGCGTAGCTGAACAGGTATCTTGTCTATCCCTTCTATGCTTTTATTTATCCCCTCTCTCTTCGTTTATGTTCCTTTGATAAGACATATTCTACCTTTTTTAAATAAAAAATCAATGGTAGTAAGTGAGAGAGCTAAACAGTTATGCATTATAGTTAATAGTGATTTCAAGCTACAAGTTGAGAAGACGTTATGAAGCCCTGCCTCCGCGGCTAACCGTATACCTTTCTCGCACCAGTAGAATTTCCGGGTCTCCAAAACCATGAAATACATAAGTCCATTTAGGGAAAGGCGATGGTAAGCCATTCTGCATGTTCTTCCTTGAGATTTTGGTACGCAAATGGAATAGTAAAGGAATAGAGGCTCGGGCGACCTTGCCGTTTTGCAACACTGGTCGGGAAGGGTGTATCGATACGCAATGCTTCAATCAAACTAGGAAGTCGGCTCGTCGAAAGCTTCCCATTTTACAGCTGTTATCTGCCGTGGCATCATCCTCCTTGTTGTCTCAATGGCGAAGGCTTTGCCCTCCTTAACACAATAACCAGCCCTTATCGCAAACGCATTGAACCAGTGTTAGACTTGCAGGTGCTATACATTGATGCCAAGAAATAATGCAGAAATCAGTCGTAATAATTTATTCTGAATTATCAACATTTTGCTAATATCGCTCATCTAGCTCATGGATATCTATAACCCCCCCCCCTCAAACCTCGACATCTCTCGCATTGCCCTTCAAGGCGCGCATTTCGTCGGTGACACGGGGAAGAGGGAAGCTCGAGGGGCCTTACCTTTCTTGAGTGTCAAACTAAGGAGTGGCCTGGGCCGTGCCAATTAAGCAGGTGACCGCGGGCTACCCTTCTTGATTCAGACATCAAAGAGCCCCACTTAATAATGAACACTCCCAAAACCAGGAGATCCCCCCAGATATCTCCCATCGATCGACACTCCCCGCGGTCGGTTGCCTCGAATCTCTTTTGGAACATGCCCAGCCCTTTCCCAGATGTATTGTAACGAACCACAGCCAGCCATATTAGCGAATCCGCCCCCTCCTCTCTTATCGCCCGGCTCCCGACGGCTGATGATGATAAACCGAGCATTTGCAACCCGGGGACGTCGCTCACATACTTCAAGACAGGTAAGGAGGCCCGAGATGGTGCCTTACAACCACCCGATCCCCAACCTGCGATCTTGTCTATATAAGATCTCGTTGCGCGCTATGTCCACTAGAGAAATCATCAAGCAAACAACCAGAAATCGCATATTACAGCTTCTAAAACCCTTCCATCAAGTACTTGTGACACTTCCTCTTCTATTTCGCATCTTTTTCTACATCTGTCGCAAATATGGCTGGGAAGGGAACCACTCTCGACATGTCGTTGTTCTATGGAACAACGGAGCAGAAGCAAGCCTTTTGTAGGGATCTTCTCCACGTTCTCAGGACCCGTGGCGGTGTCAAGCTACAAAACCATCCTATTCCTGACAAAGATATCTACGATCTTTTCTCTTGGGTAAGTGTTGATGATTTCAACCGGCCATCTTCATTATTTTTTAACACGAACGACAGACTAAAAAGTTCTTTGAGCTACCTTTGGAGACGAAGATGAAGGCCGAGCATCCTCCTGAGGCCAACCCCAATCGTGGCTATTCTTATGTTGGTCTGGAAAATGTAGGCGCTATCCGCCGTGATGGAAAGATAACTCGGGACATCAAAGTCAGTGGCTCTGCCTTCTCCATCCGAGGACCTCCATCACCGATTGCCATCGCTAACTTAACAACAAGGAAACCGTTGACTTTGGCTCCCCCACCGATGACCTCGTCGATAACCGATGGGTTCCTGAAGAGGACCTACCTGGATTCCGTACCTTCATGGAAAACTTCTACGACAAGGCCTTCAAGGCTGAGCTTGACATCTTGACGGCTCTAGCCATTGCCCTTGGAGTGGACGAACAGCACCTCCGCTCGATACACAACCGTGCTGAAAATGAGTTCCGAATTCTCCATTACCCTGCTATCCCTGCCTCTGATCTCAGCGATGGTACAGCAACACGCATTGGTGAGCACACTGACTTCGGAACCATCACACTCCTCTTTCAGGATGCTGTAGGCGGACTCCAGGTTGAGGACCAGGAGAACCTTGGTACCTTCAGGGACATTGAGTCTGCTTCGCCTACCGATATGATTCTTAATATCGGCGACTCTCTGCAGCGATTAACCAACGACACCTTTAAGGCTGCCACCCATCGTGTCACTTACCCCCCCTCTATTAAGGCTGGTGATGAGAGATTTCTACCAGAGCGTTACTCAGTAGCTTACTTCGCTAAGCCTAACCGCCAAGCTTCCCTACTTCCCCTCAAGGAGTTCATCACTGAGGCTACCCCTTGCCACTATGACGATGTTACAGCTTGGGAGTGGAACAATGCACGTATTGCTGCTCTGTTCGGCATGTAAATATATAGGAAATGGAGTATATTAGCTTTTTCCCCTATTTTTAAAGCGCTTTATTTTAATATATATTTATAAGATAATTCTCTCGATATCTAAATAGCTATATCAAGAAATATATATCAATCTCTTAATCTCTCATAGTATGTCCCGACAAGTACCTTTACGGCATTGGCCAGACAACCCCAGCCTGCTGCATACCTATCATCCCCCAGCACCTAGTCATCCAGAAGCCAGCTGTGGCGCCACCAACTTTGCCCTCCGACAAATTATCGCAATGGTTTGATTAGAAACCAAGTACACCAGAGTGGCCCCACTGGTCTGCCAAAGGACTCATTTGCATTTAAAGTGGAAGAGAAGATAAAGGGTCATAGACTTGTAGATTAGACTATTTGCCTATAATGGCGTGGTTCAGAGCGGATTGCTACATACGAGTGAGAACGATGAACGACTTTTGCAGCTGTTTACGCGCTATCCAACCACAGAGCATAAATAAACGGGGCCATTAGATCCATTAAAAACTGCCTTAATAATCCCTTATAAATACGGAAAATTCATCCCTTTCATAGACGGAATCTCTCCTAGTTATATATAAGTGCATACACTTAGTCAATTTAATACTCTAAACCAACTTTCCTTTAGTCTCAAAGCTCCTCCTTTCCAACATTGCGAGAACATGTGATAGTTAGAGACTTCAGGTGAAACCTCGGGTAGTATTACCGAAAACACGCGTTGCTGACTTAGTACCTGGTCAACCTTGATGGTGGGATGGTGGAACTAGCTACGGTAGGATAACCATGCTCTCCAAGAATACATGTTATTATGTTTCAATGTGCAAAGATTCTTCATCTGGCTATTTTCATCCCTGTCATCCGAGTTTAAAGCTGGCCGGTGACCCACGACCCCACGAGCCTTAACGCTGTCGAAGGAATTTGTAATGAAGCATGCATAACTACTTCACCCAATTTGATAAGTTACTCGTTAAAGAAGTAAGCCTAGGTTCTGTATGGCCTGTTGCGTAAAGAGTGTGGATGTTAAGTATGATGATGCCAAGAGACCCGGAGTCTCCTGTTTGTACAGCCCCATTCCCATTGACCGTCCCATAGCGTAACCCAGCCTCGGCCGATCCCTCAATTTTTCCAAACAGTAGCATATCATGGCATTGCGGCATGGTTTCCTAACTAAAGGTCGGCTCAACGACAATTTTGACAAGAAACAAGGAATCATAGCTTCGCCTGGAGGAGGGCTTCCACCATGAAATTGGTCCTTTTCAAACCTGCTTTAGGCCTGGCTTTTCTATTATGTTTGATCTGGTACGGACATACACATTTCTACCGTGATCCTGGAAGCATCTTCTTTAATAGAGAGCGAGCATACGAAACTCGCTACTCTGCCCACCGCAGAGCTGAGGCACAACAAACCATCGAATTCTATTCTACGGCAGGCACGCGTCCCTTGTTGAATACACAAAAAAGCAACAAGAGCCTCTGCGTGGCGCTGAGCTCTGTGAAACGGCAGACACAATATCTTCCGGTAAGAGGTTTATTTCGATTAATACATAACCCTGCTGACTGCTTCGTGTTGCGCAGACCACGATCGGTAGCCTATTACATGGTCTCACAGATCAAGAAAGAGCAGAACTTCATCTCTTAGTTCTCATCGCGCAAACCGACCCAACACACCATCCGAACTTCAACGAGCATTGGCTTCACCAAGCCGTCGACGGCGTATTGACTTATAACGTCAATGCAACACAGCTATCGTATCTAAGACACCTCGAGGCGACCGAGAAATATCAGGAGAAGGGCTTATTTGATTATTCATATGCCCTTCAGCAATGCTATGACACCGGGGCGTCATACGTAGGCCTATTTGAGGACGATATTATCCTAGCCCATGGATGGCTGATCAGGACTCTGCAAGGCTTGCGTGAAATAACCGAATCTGTTCAAGAGCATACAGACTGGCTCTTCATGCGTTTGTTCAACCAAGAACGGTCGACGGGTTGGGCAAGCCATGAAATTGGTGGTAATAACGAATATTGGATCATCCTTGGGGTTGACTTAGGTATCTCGGCGGTTGTACTAGTCGCGCGTCTACTCTGGCGATCTCCTCGCAAGTATCTTGTTCCAGGGACTCTCTCCGTCGTCATGTTCATGTTGGTACCAGGCATTGTTACACTGTTTTTTCAGTCAGGTAAAGCCTCAATGTTACCGCCGTCGCCAGGTGTCTTTAATGAACCATTTGGCTGCTGTTCACAAGCCATGATATTTCCCCGGGCTCAGATACCACTTTTGACACGCTCGTTTCAAGAGAAAATTGAGGGCCAGGTGGATTTGATCCTCGATGAAGTAGCTCAGAGAAACGATCTTGCAAGATATGCCTTGTATCCGGTTCAGGCTCAGCATATCGGTACGTCTGATAAAATACCAAATGTATCAGCTACTAACTGATGAAGGTCTCAACTCAGCAAGGAAGACGGATAAAGATGAGGCCCAAGCTATTTGGAGCATGGCGTTTGAAGATCTGGACCCACAAGAACTAGAGCGGGATCATCAGAAGAAGCTTAATCAGTACAGTCTCTAGGGAAAAAGAGCTAGGCAGTAGAGTAGTAAAATATAGTATCTTTTTCTTATAGTACTAGTACTAAGAGAATATATTCTACTAAGATCTGCTATATATTCTTAGAACTTTATTTTTTTTTTTTAGTTTTACTATAAATAAGAATATATTCTAAGATTAAATAATAGATAATCTAATAATATATATATATATATATATATATTTTTATTAGTTTTATTATAAATAAGAGTATATTCTAAGATTAGATAATATATAATCTAATTATATAATTTTTTTTAAGAATATAATTAGTAGTCTATATCTAAATCTTTAATATTATAAAATAAAATTAAAATTAAATATTTTTAGTTTAAATATATAGATATTAATACTTTAAAAACTCTAATAATAGAAGTAATTTATATAGCTAGATATATAAATAACTTAGCTATAGCTATAGCTCTTAAGAAAGAAAGCTTATTATCTAATAACTATATCTACTTACTAAGCTTATTAATTATTAATTAATTACTAGATATTTTAAATAATAATAATTTAATATAAATATTCTAATCTCTTAGGATTTAATTAATATTTCTAATAAAGCTTTTTAAGAAATAATAATTATTATTAGAAATAATATAAAATAATTATTTACTAACTATATTTATTATATATTATTTTAATTAGTTAAAAATCTACTTATAATAATAAAGCTACTTTTAATAGTATAGATTAAATAGCTATATTTACTTAGTTTATTATTTTATTATATAATCTATTTAGAACTATAGAAGATATTTATAAAGAATAGAGATTAATTAGAAGAAAAGCTATATCTTAAAAATAATTATTTATTTAAATAGATCTATTATAATCTAATATATAATTTATAGTTTTAATATATTATATATTATATTAAGATAATTAGAATAAAAATAGCTCTTAAAAGTTAATTAAGTTTATATTTTTATTTTTAATTATTTAATTTAGATTTAAATTAGAATATTAAATTAGATTAGAATATTAGAAAAGTATTTATTATTAATTAGAAATAATAAGAATAAAAAGATAATTACTTTTAAAATTATAAATTAATTTATCTTTATAAATATAGTATATATTTATTACTCTAGGAAATTTTTATTAAAAATAATATAAATTTAATATTAATCTAATATCTATTTATATATACTTTATTCTATTATATAATATTAAAATATTTATATTAGATATAGCTATTATAGTTATTATTATTTAAATATTTAATAAGTATATAGTAATTAATTAATAATTAATAAGCTTAATAAGTAAATATAATTATTAAATAATAAACTTTTCTTTTTAAAATTTATAACTATAGCTAGATTATTTATATATCTAGCTATATAAATAACTTTTATTATTAGAGTTTTTAAAATATTAATATTTATATTTAAAATTAAAAATATTTAATTTTTTTTATTTTTTTTTTTAAGTTTTTTTAAGTTTTTTTACTATATATAAGAAATATTCTAAGATTAAACTATATATAACTAGATCTATATAATTTATTTTTAATTAAATTTTAATCTATATTTAATTTTTAATTTTTAATTTTTTTATTTTTTTATTTATATAAATTAAAATAAAATAATAATATTTTTAAAAACTCTAAAAAGAGTTTATTAAATATATAATTTAGTTATAAATTCTAAAAAAGAATATTTATTATTTATAATTAAATATAATATCTCTTTAAGCTTATTATTATTAATTATTAATAATTAGATCTTTTTTTATAATTATAATAATAAATATTTCTAATATTATTATTCTTTATAACTAGAGCTTAATTATTATATATAAAATTAAATTTTTAATTATTTTTTTTTTAGAGATTTTTACTATATATAAGAAATATTCTAAAATTAAACTATATATAACTAGCTCTATATAATTTATTTTTAACTAAGTTTTAATTTATATCTAATCTTTAATTCTATTTTTTTTACTTTTTTATTTATATAAACTAAAGTAAAATAATAATATCTCTAAAAACTCTAAAAAGAGCTTATTAAGTATATAATTTAGCTATAAATTCTAAGAGAGAATACTTATTATTTATAATTAATTATAATATCTCTTTAAGTTTATTATTATTATTATTAACTATCTCTTTTTATAATAATAATAGATATCTCTAATATTATTATTCTCTATAGTTAGAGCTTAATTATTATAAATAATTAGATCTTTATATATATAATAATTATTATTAATAAAAATTATTAAAATCTTTTTTTAAATATTAATTATTTAAATCTATAATCTATTATAGGTTTATTTATAATAATAAAGTTACTCTTTTTTATATAGACTTAATAATTATATTTATTAGAACTATTATTCTATCTTCTTATAGCTAGTAATAATATAAAAATAGATCTAATTATTAATATACTTATAAAGAATTATAATAATATTCCTCTAGTACTTAATTACTATTATAATCTAAGTTACTATATATAGTTCTAATAGATAATATATTAAATTAAATTAATTTAGATTAAAATAACTTTTTAAATTTAATATTTATTTTAATTAATAATATTAAATAAAAAAAAATTAAATTAAATTAAATTAAATTATTAAAAAGTTTATTAAATAAAAAAATTAAATTAAATAAGATTAATATAATAATATTTAGAATATAATAAATTAGTTAATTTAATACTATTATAGATTATTTAAAGAAAATTATAATAACTAATTATAAAGTTACTATATATTAATAAAAACTAAATATAATTTATATAGTAAAGTTTTTAATTATATAATAATAATAATTAATAAAAACTTTTATATTTTTATTAATAATATAAAATAATTAAATTTATATTCTATTATTAGATTTTTTATAATTATAAAGTTATTTTTAATTATATAGATCTAGTAGTTATAATTATTAATTTTAATATTATATTATAAAGCTTATAAAGAGTAAATAATAGATTTTATTTTATATAAAATATTTAAAAAGAAAAAATTAAATAATAATCTCTAAATATTTAATAATTATAATAATTTAAAATATAATTTCTAATTCTAATATATTATATATTATATAGAATTAATTTAAATAAAAATTATTTTTAAAATCTAATATTAATATTTTAATATTAATAAAATAATATTTAAATAAATAGAAAAAAATTAAATAAAATTAAATTATTAAAAAATTTTATTAAATAAAAAAATTAAATTAAATAAAATTAATATAATAGTATTTAGAATATAATAAATTAATTAATTATTATTATAGAATTTTAAAGAAAATTATAATAGCTAATTATAAAGTTATTATATATTAATAAAGATTAAATATTATTATATAAAACTATATTTAATATTTTAATTAGTATATAATAACTTTATAAGCTATTATATTTTTCTTTATTAATATTCTATTATAATAATTAATTAATTTATTATATTCTAAATACTATTTTATTAATTTTATTTAATTTAATTTTTTTATTTTAATAAGCTTTTTAATAATTTAATTTAATTTAATTTTTTTTTATATAAAGTCTATCTAAATATAAATAATCTTTATTAATTTAGACTTTAAAAGCTATTTTTATCTAGATTAATTCTATATAATATATAATATATTAAAACTAGAAACTATATTTTAAATTATTATAATTATTAAATATTTAATACTATATAAAACTATATTTAGTTATTATTAATATATAGTAACTTTATAATTAATTATTATAATTTTCTTTAAATAATCTATAATAATATTTAATTAATCTATTATATTCTAAATACTATTTTATTTATTTTTTTTAATTTAACTTTTCTATTTAATAAACTTTTTAATAATTTAATTCTATTTAATTCTCTTTTATCTACTTAATAATACTAATAAAAATAGACTTTTATTTAATTTTAAAAACTATTTTAATTCTAATTAATTTAATCTAGTATATTATATACTAAAACTATAGATTATAAATTAGATTATAATAATACTTAAGTATTAGAGGAATATTATTATAATTCTCTCTAAGTACTCTATTTTAAATTAGGTTTATTAATATTATCTAGCTAGTTTAGAGATAGAGTAATAGTTCTAATAGATATAGTTACTAGGTCTATATAGTTAAAAGTAGCTTTATAACTATAAGAAAGTCTATAATAGAGTATAAGCTTAGATAATTATATTAAATATTAGAAAGAAAATTCTAAAGGTTATTACTAATAGCTATTATTATATATATAAGAGCCTAGTTATTTATAATAATTAGATCCTAATTACTAGGGATAATAATATTAAAGATATTTATTATTATAATTATAAAAAGAGATTTAATTACTAGTAATTAATAATAATAAGCTTAGAGAGATATTATAATTAATTATAAATAATAAATATTTCTTCTTAGGATCTATAGCTAAATTATATACTTAGTAAGCTCTTTTTAAAGTTTTTAAAGATACTATTATCTTATTTTAGCTTATATAAATAAAAAAGTAAAAAAAATAAAATTAAAGATTAGATATAGATTAAAATTTAATTAAAAATAAATTATATAGATCTAGTTATATATAACCTGATCTTAGAATATTTCTTATATATAGTAAAAATCTTAAAAAAAAAAAATTAAATATTTAAAAATTATTATCTAGTTCTTTTTTTTTTTAAATATTTTATATAGAATAAAATTTATTATTTACTTTTTATAGATTTTATAATATAATATTAAATCTAATAGTTATAACTACTAAATCTATATAATTAAGAATAGTTTTATAGTTATAAGAAATCTAATAATAAAATATAAATTTAATTATTTTATATTATTAATAAGAATATAAAGATTCTTATTAATTATTATTATTATATAATTAAAGATTTAATTATATTTTTTTTTTAGAGATTTTTACTATATATAAAAGATATTCTAAGATTAAGCTATATATAACTAGCTCTATATAATTTATTTTTAACTAAGTTTTAATCTATATCT